TAGCTGTCATTACTGAATTGTATGATATAATTCTTATAAAGAATATCAGGTCAGGTAGGGAATTAATCCAGATATTAAAAATAAAACAACGTTGCATAGTGTGTGTATGTTTTGCATGAAAAATCTTACTTTGTAGATGAAGGCTGTAGCAGTAAAATACATTTTGTGGACTAAAGTATGATAGTTCCCTTGGCAAATGGCAGCACAAAACTTAAATTCTTACAGAAACTTGACATTTTTCAAATGTGTATTACAGCAGAATTACAAGTACAGTACTTGCAAATGTACATCATCACGTTGCACTGATGGTTATTCACAAAATGAGTGCAGCAAAACAACCGAGAAAAGCTTTCGTTGCGTGAATAAAAAAAGGGCAGAATTTCAACGTTTAGAACACAAATACATCCATTTTAATTTGAGAAAATACAAAAAGAAACCATGTACAATCTATGTACAAACTTTTTGTACAAGACAGTATATTTATCAGCAGATTATATTTGACAGAGTCAGGTAGATCAACTCAGCACCATCAAATAATCCATTTATCCATCATAACTAGAACACATCCAAACTAATTAGACTGCTATGTCAAACTCCTGTTTGCTGCAATGATGATGTGCCATCAAATCATATCTGTGATACGCAAGAGCGATAGCCTGAATTCTTCCTGAACTGATAGGCAGCCAAAAAAACAAAAAAAATAGTCGCAACTTTTCTTAAAAAAAATTGCTGAATGCAATTTTAATGTATTATTAAGACTTGAGACCCACCTCCCATCCCCCATAAGTATTTTATATTCTTATATATCTAGTACAATTCCCAGCAAGTAAGTTATTATATCCATCCTTTACAGCAAAAAATAGATTAACAAAAATAATAATAATACATACTTTAACAGTAACATGTGACGCATCATACTCTTTGATTTGTTCAGTGGAAAACGACACATCTGATGTTACAGGCATGGGCCTCTATGTGCATCTTTCAGTCATCCATGTCTCACTACACTACATGAAACAACCTGTAACCAAGCACACAGCGATATGTGCGGTTCGGCCGCCGGAGCTTGTATCTGTCTGCCCCAGCAGCCCCTCAGGCCTCCTAAATGCCACTTTTCGCTTTAGTGGGACTTTTTATGGGCCCTCCTCTTGACCTTCTGCACTGCCTGGCACCATACTGGCATGGAGGCATTGATGGCTTGGATGTTCTCCATGCCAGTACAAGACACTGTTCTCACAGTGTAAAAAAAAAAAAAACACAACAACAACAACAACAAAAAAAACGCCTGGACTCGACTCCCTCAAAGCGAGCCTGTGTCCCTGAATGACTGAAGGATGCTTTGCTCAACTAAACAATTCATGGCACTTCAAAAACACTCTAAAAACTTTAGAGGTATACAATGCAAAGACCTAAAAACATCTAATAGAGACATTTGAAAAGGTGTAGGAAGGAGAGACATCTCAGTCCAGTGTTGTGAATAATGCCAGCCTCAATGAGTTGCACAATGACGGTTCAGGTAGAAAAAGCACAGTAATCAAGTATAATGAAAATAAATGGTGCATTACTTTGTGAGTTCGTGTTAATGCCAGTTTGCAGCATGTACCGTTTTATTTATGCGCAGTGCTATGTTTAAGTACCTTCAAAAAATACTCTGTAAACAAATAAGAAGCAGTTGTGACAGATAATGACAAGCTGACAAAATGGAATGTAAACCCTGTAATAACACAAAGTAATAAAAACAGGAAAACTAAGGATGTTCTCTCTTTTGATAACAATTGCTGAATTGGTGCTACCTTACATCTTAGTAATGGCTGTTAAACCAGATCGAATTCCGCCTGACTTTTCCTCGTGTCACGTACAGTACTTGAATAGTCTCCGCATTCCTACAAGAATCCAAGATCTTTCATTTTCCAGATACACGTTTGTCTTTTTTTTTCTTTTCTTTTTTTTAAACATAACAATCAGTTTGTCGATTCTATGTATAATGAGTCATTGCCATTATCAAATATTAATAATTCCTTATTGTCCAGGCTAGCAAGTATGCCATTAACAACCCAATTATACATACATTTTACTCACATATTTTCTGAAAAGAAATCTATTTGCTACAATGTGTGACAACGATGTAATCACAGTTCAAAAGTTCACTTCAGGACAATGTGTATGAGGCTTCAGTATAGTTGCACCACACCCAATAGACGGACATTGAAGCTCAGATCATTTTGTTTGAGAAAGAAATGTGGTCTATATAATGGGTTGAGTTTACACAAACATATTTAGCACAATATAATCTTTTCCATGTTCCAAAATTGGCTTCTATTTTTAGAATGACTTTTCCTTTACAGCCTATCGAGGAGGATCTCTGCAATAAACAGACGGCGTCTCCCTGTCACATCTGAAATCATGTTTTTGTGGAAAACACCAGCACACTGTGCTGTCGTGTACACACTCTTCCTTCACACTAGGGACCTAATTTAGGTCAAACATGTCTAATGAAGGTCATTCGGTTCTGGCCTGCACACAGTGGGAGCGACTTTATTGTATTTTCATCATTATTACCACTCTGATCTGCTCTCAAATTAAATACGTTTCCCCCCCAATGCAGAATTCTTTTACGTCTATCATTTCATATGCATGTTCTCAGCGAGGGACGCTTAGTAGCAGACACACTATTTAGTAGACACTGTATCTGTGCAACTAAAGGAGGCTTCAGATGAGCCTAAAATTATTTCTACAAGCACTTAACAGAGCCGAGCTGCCAGGCTGAAGATGGTGGTTTTCAAAATGCAAGCTAGTCTAAGCTTTATTAGCTCCAGAGTGATGCAGTTTGTTAAAGAGGGGCCAAGAGGGATAAAAAAATAATCCTTTGCTTTAATACAATGTGAAATAAATAGTGATATAGTCAAACATAAAATCATTTGATATGTCGTTGTAATTAAAGATATTAATTGAGCCTTTATCTCCTAAATTACTTTTTACTTAGTTCTTGACTAGAAAAATAAGTACAAATTGATTATGTTTGTGGATACAAAATAATTATGTTTAAATGTGTAAATCCAACTACATACTTGTATGAAGGTTACTATTAGGAGTACAAGGCTACCAGGTCAATCCTCCACTCTTGTCACACCTGGATTTGGATCTACGAGTGCCTCGACATGTGCAAAATAGGCTCACACACGGGCTAGCGTGAAGAACACAAGTTCCTCTAATGTCATTATGAGCAGTCTATGGCATCGTTGCATTCCCGCCAACTATGCTTTAGCGTTTCCCCATGTTAGCGGACCGAACACAGCAGCTTAACTCCTGAGAGTTTTGAGGCATGTGACATCTGGATTGGCAACAGAGAACATCCAAGCTCTTTACTGCCTCTGTGCCAACCCTGTGCCAGGCAGTTGCTCTGATCAAAGGAGGACCCATTGATGCCCACTGTAATGCAATATGTGGCATTTCTTTCCTCAGACATGAATTTTATGTAACAGACAAAACATTAAAAAAAACAAAAACAGTAATCCACCCTTCTTTGTGATCCCAATTCTGCCGCAGATAACACGGCAATGCGTTTAGGGTGGGCACGCTGCTGCTGCTTATGTTAGGTCCGCTCAATCATAGTTGGGGATGTTGAATGCAACTTAATGTCTTTGTTAGTAGATCCAAATCCTGTAGACACTCCTAGTGTTTGTTTCTACCATGACTTCATTTTTTTTTTCTCTTTTTTTTTTTTTCCGAGCTAAAATCCCACATGCTGTTCCTTCAAAGGTGCACCATCACATACAAACCAATGGAGGGGTGGGTGACGGCACTGATAAGCGCAACACCAGAAGGACAAGTGGCTGCGATGCGCGCACACACACACAAATACACAGAGCGTGTACAGAAACACCCCTGAATGCATGAAGGACGGGGCGGGTTGGTTTTCCATCCTTCTCATGTATTCGGGCAAATTAACCACACTGTATCTGTTATGAAGGGCGGGGAGGCTCAGGCACATATCATGCGAGCTTGAAACGGAGTCACAGCCTTTTGTTTTCTGACGTATCAGCAGAATACATGTAGGTACAGGGTTTTCGTTCAGCCAGCATACACCAACACTGCACCATTCTCTGAGTTCTTAGATTATTGTTTTGCAAGATGATTTTTCTTCTGCAGGCCTGGAATGCTCTCACTCAAAACGAGTCAAGGTGAAACAGCAAACCTGAAGCAATGATGTACAACAAACCAAGAACAAGATTAGTATGCCTCCGAAGCCAAGCAGCCCTTCCTTCCTTCCTTCATTTCTTCCCTCCTTCCTTCCTTCCTTCCATCTCCTCAGAGACATTTTATTGGGGCGGGGGTTCTGATGTTTCCAGTTGTTCTGTCAAAAGAAACTCATTCAGTTTTAGTGCAAATAGAACAGAAGCAGACAGGAGATATGACGCCGATGAACCCAGCTGGTTTGATGTGACACTTCTGGGTGAATCTTTGGGAGATGATATGATCAGTTTATCGCTGCAACCCTCATCCTCCAATAACCAGTCACCTTAGCCATGGAGTCTGGTCACATGAACAGCTGCACTACAGCAAAGAACTCCAGGAAGTACTCTTTTTTTTTTTTTTTTTCCTTTTTTTTTTTTGTCAACTCTTAAAATAATTCCAAAAAGTGCTAGGGGGGAAAGGGGCTGTACAATCCTTATTGATTGTCATTATGTACATCTCTATGGATACATTAATAAATAAAACAATGTCCAAGAGCATGGAAGTAACATTAAAGGTATACACATAGGAGGTCCCTTCCAGTCTGGGTTCCTGTCCAACCCTCGATTAGAAGAATGAGTGAAGAGAAATGTGTCAGTCTTCTGCATCCCTGTCGATATCATCATCGTCACTTCTCCACTGGTGATCTCTTCCCGTCTCTTTTGAAAGAGCGTATAGATGTCTAGTGAGTCAGCAAGGAAACCTGGTGTTCAGCATTCATCTTCAACTTCTCTGATTGGTGGAATCAGACTACTAGTGGATTTGTATTGGTTGACTTGGTTGGCCATGTGAGTGCTCATGGGCTTGATCTGAATGTTCCGTGGGTAGGCATTTTCTGGTTCATCTGTAAACCATTTCTTTTCTGAAGAGGACAAGGCGAGAGAGGAGGAGGGGGGAAAAAAAGGAGTTAGTCTGAAAAGGTATGCAACATTTGGTCATTTACAACCATACTGCCTCAGTTTAAGTGATATTAAGATTTGCATGGCATTCTTCGTGATTAGCATCAAACCGTAAGGTCCCGGTGAAGTTTGGGTTCTTATGCACTGAGCCAATTTGAAGTTGACATGGTGGCATTGTCCATTTCCAATACAACTTTGCAAGTATGTGGACGTATCAGAATTATGTTGTTTGTTTTTGTAGTTTCTCTTGTAGCCTCACTAGACAGATAGTTGTGGTTTTATTGATATGTTTTCAGACATCTGTCTCTGAGAAGATTTCTGCTGCCACCGCAACATATGCAAGCATGGAATTTAGTCTGTGGTGCACACAGCATTTTGAAATCACATCTAAAGAAACTGTCTCAAGCTTTTAATGGGACTTCTTTCTACCAAAATATAGTCTAAAGGCTATTGAGTGTGTTCTGTTGACCATCAGGACTGAAGATGTGGCAGGACTGCATGCAAAGTCAATGCAAAGATGCAGCTATACACTTACAGTCGCCAATTTGCCCGGGGCGGTGCGATGTGAGGGGAATGTTGAAAATGATTTGAACTTGAGCAAAAAATTCATGCTTATTCCAAGGTTGTGTATCTCTAATTCATGAATATACCGAGTCAAAGAAGAGAGACTGGAGGAAAATTACAGTTTTGATATTAGGTGTAGTCGGTATTAAAGTATACCATGGGATTTAGAAATCCAGAGATGCTTAATAATACATTGTACTCCGTTGCACAAACTGCTCTGCTACAAATCAGTCATGATACAACTGAAAATACAGTCCAGCAGCTGAGCGGACAAAGATTGTAGCTACCAGTGGGGATGCAGGAATCCTTGCTTGGTAATATTTGGGGTTCAAACACAACGAATCAGGTGCATGAGTGTTTCAAGTGCATCATCTGAACAGCAGAGTGGGGAAAACAGGAAACACAATCACCTCAACTAAAGACAGAATGAGTAAATACGCTAATTTACTTGATAAAGAAACCTGATTGATTAGGTCTGCTAGCACATAACGAAAGGAGGAATTTACAACCTTATGTTTTAATAGTTTGTACTTGAGGTTTCATTGGGCTAAATTATTCTCATTTTCCAATTTATATGTACAAATGTTTCTATCTTGTTCAGCCAAAACTCTTGCAAGACCCTCTTAAACGAATACATGGTCTTGCCTATAGGAGTGTGTCTTCTTCATGGTGTACGAGGTGCAATCAAGACATTTGAGTGAACGATTCTGTTCCTGTTGCACGTGAACGGGACGCAGCACAATTGTGTGCATGCAACAGATGCAAGCAGTAGCTGTTGTAGGTCAGGATCAACGTACCCTTAAGGGGATTAATACGGGGACCTGTGCTGCCCTTGTTTTTGTCACCACTTTACTATTTCAAGATGGACCTGCCGAAGCTGCACTGTGAAGTCTGCAAAGATCTCAGTCAATAGGCCCAGGATGAGGCAACCTTCATGTTGAGGGTCATCACTAGTGTCAACAGCTGGGTCTACAGCTACAACCAGGAGACCTTGCAGCAGTCTTTGCAGTGGGAGAGCTCGCAGTCTCCAAGAATGAAGAAGACACATCAGGTCAGGAGCACACCAAAAGCACGGTCATTGTTTTCTTCAACATTAACGTAGTTGTGCAAAGTGAATTGGTCCTCCGAGGCCAAACTGTCAACTATTATGTCCTGGGGTGTCTGAAGGAGAACATTTGACCTGGACTGTGGTGCCATGGCGACTGGTGCTCTGACATGATGCACTTGCTAACAGTGCACTGAAAATGCTATTTGACTACACACAATTGTTACCCCCCATTAACCACTTCCTTTTCTTCTCATAGTGAAATTTAAGTTTAAGGGTCACTCTTTTGGAACATCTTGCAAAACAGAACTTTCAGAAAGCATCGCAGGAGCACTGGGAGCAGTGTGTCGCTACACAAGGGGACAACTCTAAAGTGGAAGGCGACCAAATTTAGGTCAAGTGCCTATGGTTTTTATAGACACAGACTCAAAACTTTTTTGATTGCACCTTGTACCTTAACCCACAGAACAGCTTATCTGTGAATGGAAGGTTCAGCCGCTCATTTGTACTTGCACTCTTAATGGTACACTTTCATTCAGAAGGCACATAATATAAGTCAAAAGACTTCATTGCCAGCAAGACTCAATCAAGATACTGGAATGGGACAGCACTGTAGATGACTAGTGTCATACATGTATTCTTCTTTTAGTTTTGTTTGTTGGTTTGTTTCTTTACAAATACTATAACAATGGATATGCCACAAGACTAAGCTGTCACACAGGCTTACACTACACACAGTGGCCAGTGTGTTAGCTGCGAGCAAACTACAGCGTCTGCACAGTTGGTACTTTTGCAGTTTGTGGTAAACAAACACAGACACGTCTTCTAAACGTCTACGCTCAGTGCTGTGAGCACCACAAATAAAATTCCCTTCAATTGCATTTGGGTTGCCACAGAAATCACAGAAATGGAAGACTTCTCAAGAAAAACCTAAAACTATCTGCATGGTTATTTACCAAGACTGTTAGGTTCTTAAACTAATAATTTACAAAGTAAATCCTGAATCGTCACATTTCATAGTAAGCTCTCACGTAATCACTGTCAGCGTGAGAGTGGGGAGGAGATTTGAAAGAGTCGGGATGTGTCATTTTGGAGAGACTCTCTTCATGATTAAGTAGGCTATGAGAGCACTGTTTCTGAGGAAAGGGAAGGGTGTATGCCAGCTGTCAGAAGTTTGTAAACTCTCTCCCAGCACTTCACAGGCATCTGCAATGCCATTCAAGATGTCACTTCCTTTTGGGTGAAGTTGTAATATCAAATTTTAACTTTGCTATGTGGAGCAAACCTCGTGTGCGTGCGCGTGCGTGTGTGAATGCGTTTGGTGTACATGCAGGCTTACATGTGCGGAGATTCATTTGTGTGGGCTCGCTTGTGTGTGTGTGTGTGTGTGTGTCAGCAAGCTTAAGGCTGCAGGGCTGTGTGTTACAGCACAGACATTTGATGTGTAGAATTGTGCCTGAGGTGAAGCAAGATGTCTGCCATCTCTCTCCAGAGTCTGTTGCTGATACGGTGAACTTAGTGATGTCGCCTCAAACCACCATATCAGGTGCACAGGGTTACAAGGAGGAAACTTACAGACTCATATCCCCCTTCAATTTAAACTTTAAATTGGTCACGCCTCCCACTTTCTTGGTGTGACCGATGGCACAGGGCTGGACACACTTTCTTAAAGTTCTGTGAAGAAGTAAGCAATTTGGCTGCATCAGGGGGGATTTGAATCAGTCTGACCTACATGTGAGCTACGGTGTTAGGCTCGTACAGTCGGAAAACATGTCATTACTCCGCACTTTATGCTGATGCCGGTGTAATAAAAAAAAAAAACCTACTGTACTCAATTGGAGCACAAATATCTAAAAGTCTGCTACAGTCATCTGATAGCATTCGATAGGAGGGAAGATGCGCAAACACACAGACCTCTCACACAATGCAAACCATCTCAAGTTCAAATAAATCATAAAAAAAAAAAAGGCATGATAAATAATGGAAAGAAACAATGTGGAAAAAGGATTTGTCTGGAGGAGAAAAAGAAAACTCATATCATCAAGTAAATAACTGAGGTAAAAAAGGCACAAAAAGAAAGGGAGGAGGGGTTCGTCTCAACCTCATGCAATGTGGAGATGGTCCTGATCATGGCAGGGAGGAGGCAGGAGCAGCAGCAGACATTTTGCTTTCCAGATGAAAGCAAAACTTAAACTGAGGCATGGTTTACTTAACATCTGAAGAACGTAATAAATAAAACAAACTCCCCTCGTCATAACAATATCCGCAGAGGACATAGTTATGATCAGAACCCCAGGTAAAAGGTTGCTAAGTCATGCAGAATCGTTAACTTGCATACCTTGGCCCATTCTATTCATCCTTGTTGCACTTCAGAAAGAGAGGTAAGTAATCTACTGTAAGTGAGTAGTATTTACAGTCAATACACAACTGACAAAAGACTACCAGTCTACCTAATGCTTACATATTCTAACTATATGCTACATAATACATCTTAATTTTAAGATGTATTGAGGGCTTATAATCTACTGTTCAGTAATTCTTGAGTACGATTGTAACAAATCTGCATGCTTTTAGACTACAGTTTCAAAAATAATTAATTCATTCTCCCAAATAAATCCAAAAATTTGGGGTTATAAAATAAGGAATATACTCAACATCTAGGTCAAAAGATTTCACCAAATTTGAAAAATAAGCTTATAACTGTGTAATAAACAGAACAGGAAACCTGCTCAACATGGACATGCAATAAAGCAGTACAGATGCACCATGAATAACAAAATATCAACACTGCTAATGAGGGATGAGTATCAGCGTATCACTAATGTCAAGCCAAATTTGGATTAGATTTATATATCAGCTACAGTAGGTTAATCACAATACATTACATCCATGATCCAGGCGTACTGATCATGTGCACAAATATCCAACAAAACAACTTACTCCACAAATACTACGAGTTAGACACAAAACGGCTAAATATTAAGACGTACGACAGGTAGACCAAACAACATACTGAATGTGTGTCGTGGTTGAGGCGTTTACTGTAACTTTGTTTTCCAACCACAATGGCTGTGTCATCCAAACAAGTGGGTTTTTAGTGTTTACACTGCCAAAAAGCTTAAAACTCGTAAGGAAAGAGTCGCGGCAGCAGCCTTTTGAGTTTAATAAATGAATCCAGCTTTTCACAAAGTGAGTTCACCGAATCGCTAATGTCATGTTATGATTGCCGTGACGTGAGAGTGAAGACCACATGCAGATGATTATGAAAGAAACACACCAACACTGGGCATGGACGCAGAGCAACAAACCACAAACGCACAGTGCACGGTAAATCATCGGTGCATGTGTCGTCACAGTCTGCACACAAACACACACACCTAGAAAGTACGGGTCAGATATAACACACTTAAAAAAAACATGCAAACTCAAACGCTACAGGACGTGTGTGCGCGCTTACTTCTGTTTGTCGCGGGCCTCCCGGGTCTTGCTGCTGCGGTTCTGCCGGTTGGAGGGGGGGATGGAGTGCACGGAGGAGCTCTTTTTGCTGGAGGAATGGGAGGAGTGGGAAGAGTGGGATAAGCTTGTCCGGGACTGGCCAGCGTTGTGGTCGAACTGCATGAGGCAGAAGATCAGGTCTGTGGGCACCAGCTCAAACTCGTATGGGGGGTTCGTGATCACATATCTGGGGCAGAAAACAAAAGGATTAAACTCTCATACATAGAAGAAAGAAAAGGTTTGACGACAAAGGCAATTGACATCTACTGCACTAGAACACTTGAAGAGGGCAGTATAGGTAGCAAACAAACTACAACTTGAGGAAGGTGTAGGAAACTGCATCGGTTAAGATTTAAACCTGCAGTGCGGAACTTTTATCTTTCCCCTTGCGGCAGTGAGAGGAATTACAACTTTTTAAAACTAGGGGTTTTGCTGTAGTTGCTGTTGTCACAACCCGATATGCAGCCTACTTCATTTCTGTAGCTATGAATGCTGCCCTAGTCGGCTCTGGCAAATCAGTACTTTCTGGTGCAGTAAGGCTACCACAGAAACCAGATTTAAAACTATGGTATACTGCGAAATACAGAAAGATTCTCTGAAAGGTTTATTGAGGGCTTTAATGTAGCAGATGGTCATTTACATGTCTGTTAAAGTCCATCACTTTAGCTTTAACTCACAAATGACTCTATTAGACGACTATATTGATGCCAAATAAAGTACGATAAGATAGGAGCAACTTTATTGTCCTGAAGGAAATGTTTCTTGGACACATAACTGCAGCTCACAGTGCATAAATACATCACTCACATACAAAGACCAGAATTAGGTTAATTTTGTCTACTCTGATTACAGGTATACAGTTTCTTCTCTATCAGACAATGAGTATTTTTAAGTAGTATTTTTACCCTGACATGTTTCGAGACACTGACGTCTGTGGTGACGTGTATTTATCAGCTGGCGGTTTCCTGGAGGCGTGACCACCGGACGGCAGGAGGCGTGACCCGTCGAGCAAATCTGACAGATTGCCAGGCGGGTCACGCCTCCAGGAAACCACCAGCTGATAAATACACGTCACCACAGACGTCAGTGACGTTTCTGAGGAAGACTGAAGTGACAGTCGAAACATGTCGAGGTAAAAACAGCTCCTACTTAAAAATACTCATTGTCTGAGAAAAAAAAAAGAAACCTTATACCTACAAACTGCACAATGCCATTCGTTCCATCATTATGAATGTAAATTAAAAATAAATGTGTCTAAGTTCCTCAAAAAATAAATAGCAATTTGATTCCAAAGAACACTATAAGACAATATGGACGTTCTCTACCTCTTTGATTGGCACTACTGTACATTTTATGTTACAATATATTAGCAAACATTTATATTATTATATATTTTTTTATTTTATTCAACCCATTTAAGTCATTGTAGAAAACCTGGCCGTTTATTTGCACTTGTTTCTCACCGAACTCCAACACCAAAGTTTCCACATCATGGGTAACAAAGTCCATCTATGACTCATTTTATTATATGAAAACACTTATTTTGACACTGGGGGAAAAAGCTGCTACTGTACCGTTTTGTGCACTGGCTTGGTGTACTGAGATGAGCATCTCTTAATCTGTAGATTCCGAAACACAGCATGTTGTACGTCTTCAATGCTTTACAGAACAAATCCCCGTAGCAGCCGCCGTCCTGATGAACAATACAACAAAGACACCATCAGCATGTGTTAGATCATCCCGGCGATCTCGCTTAGCGGCAGTAAAGGTAATTCTCTGGAAAGCTGCAGTGAAAATACAAGTGTTCTGTAATGTTGTGTTTTTGCTTGTGAGTAAATACCAACTGTTGGTAATGCAGATTGTAACTGAGCAATGTTTCATAATGATGCCGTAAGTCATTTGAGAAACAACAAAATGACTTCTGAATCGGAGGTTTTGTACAACAATAACAAAAAAAACCCAATAAAAACAAGATTGGAAACAATTAAACTTGGTGTTTTCCTTGATGGTGTTTATTGTTCTCTCCGCCTCCCTCGCCACCCACTAAGGCCTGCTTTGCGTGATCACTGTTCTTCACATCGGATTAAGGACCGCGAGGAGCAGAGGCGGCCAGATGTGTGCTGCTGGGTAGTGCCAAAACGTGTCATCTCTACTTAAACATCCACTTACCCCCAAGTCAGCAAATGGCCCGTCGTAGAGGGCTAGCTGGGCGACGCGACACCTGTCTCTGTTGGCCAGTGTCTGCGGTGTGCTGTAGCCTCCTCTGAGAGCGTTCTCCTCGGCCAGCAGCGCCTCCAGCTCTGGTGTGGCTCCCCCTGTGACCAGCGTCCGAATCAGCGTGAGGATATTATCATTGAAGTATGTCTGGGGAGAGGAGAGAAGGGATCTGTGTAAGCAGGCGCCGTTAGAGTCACAAGGAGGGAGGTGGCAGATGAAAGCACAACTTGTTATATCAGCACTGTTTCTTCACATAGAGAGGAGACGACCTGTGGACTTTGCTTTCTGCCTGATTACTGTCATTTTTATTTGTTTTCAGCAGCTGTAAAATGTTGGTTCATCAAACTACTTAAGGCACTTTTTCTCAAGTGTTATCTCACCATGCGGATATTTTAGATTTTATTTACTCAGGTTATCCAACTTTGGGGTTTCCACATCGACAAATTTCACTTGAAAATTCAACAGTGAGATCTCAACATTTACACTTTTCACTTTACATCCAAAAAAGGGAGACGGCTTTCTAAAAGTAATATGAACATATGTCATTGTTCAAAGCTAAAAGCACCAAGAATTAAATTAAATTCACATCAACTGTTTATGTGGGGAGGAAGGAATCTCAGAGATGAATATCTTTTTTTTTTTTAAATATATATATTTCGGCTTTTTTGCCTTTATTTAGAGCAGTAGAGATAGACAGGAAAGGGTGGAGAAGAATGGGGAGGACCTGCAGCAAACGGTTGTGAGCGGGAGTCGAACCCACGACCGCTACATTGTGGAACTATAGCCCCAGTTTATAGGGGCGCCCCTGAATATCTTTTAAAAACAAAAACAAAAACAGAGAATAAACCATCTTTATGACTAGTTTCCAGTAGATTTAACCCTCCTATTACCGTCAAATTTACTGACATCCTTCATCCATGGGTTCAATCTGACCCCAGCAATTTAACCTCCAGAAAATATCATAATGAAAATTATTCCCCAACTTGTGTAAATAGCCCTTTAAATAAAACTGAAAAAATGATGTCAATTACTTATTTTAACATTGAATGGGGTCAAACCGATGCCAAAGATAACAGGAGGGTTAAGTTCAAATATATTATATTTTATTGCAAATTAAAGGACGGCCTGGTTAATGGTGTTTTGATAGGACTGTACCCAGTAGGATCATCACATTATGTAAGGTAGAAGTGTTCCAACAAAGCCCTCCTCTTTTCTCTGAGCACACTATTTCATTTTATGCTGTGCAACGTCCATTTTCCCCTCTGAAACAACGATTTGACTGCGCTCTGTGGGTGTCAGCTTCTCTTGTCCTTCAAGCCGATCAGGACCTGCTTTTGCCACGCGTGAAGACAGCCGATGTCACTCGGCAGCCGGGCCAGAGTGGCAGCGCCTCTCACTGGGCCCCTGACAGGCCTGCAGAGCCTCATGATGGATGAGCAGTGTCCATTAGCTGGCTTCACCTCTGACCAGCGCCAGACTACAGCTGACGCCTGCTCTACTCCCCGATCAGCTCGGCTCTGCATGCCCCTCTAACCCCTCATTCACCGAGAGGACTGCTGGAATTAAGCCATCACGGCAGCAAAGGGGGAAAATAACACAGTCGGTCACGAGAGGGATGGCGAGCGGAGGTTGTGGGTGGGGTGGGGAGAGAGGAAGAATTAGTTGTAGAAGATAATTTTTTCCCATCTCCTCCTTTATCTCATCTCCAGTGCAGTGATGACATTGTCAAAAGATGAAAGAGTATTTCTTTGGCCCTGTTGGAGCCCAGCTTGAGTCATCGCCATTACGCTAACCTTCCACACTTATTTTGTTAAAAGATCTAATCGGGCTCTTGAAAGTTAAATTCATAACACTTGGGTTGAGGAGTGATGCCAACAATTTCCCTTTTGATGTCAGCGGAGTTGGCAGGCATACGTGATCAATGTACTGTACCATTTCATTTACCAACTTCTGTCTGCTCGAAATGCCAAAACAGTACATCTACTGAAACTTATCGTTACACTTCACCCAAAGAATTTTTTTTATTTACACCAAGTCTGTAACGTTCATGATGTCATCTCGGCTTTAAGAGCAACTGCTGATACATCTGAATGCAGCTTTTTTTTAAAAATATAAATACACTTAAATATTTAGTCGTGACCACAAATGAAGGAAATAAAAATAGAAACAACTGCTGCACTTTCAGGTTATCAACTTCTAATGTTCTCCCAGGTTCATCTTTTGAGTCTGAATCCCTTCAGAAGTTGCTCACCTCTTCCCCCTCTCCCTGCAGTTTCCACCAGTGCAACAACATGCAATTATTACACAGTGGACACAGCATCCACCTGTACTTTGTGTGAGACTTCTCCCTCCTGGTTCACCGTTTGAAATTCTAAAATATTGCTCTATTATCACAACCCAAATATAGATAAATCAGGAAATAAAAATTAGAATGTTTAGTAAATTACATGACTTCTTTGGGGGGAGGAGGGATATAAAGATGTAAGAAGAAGAAACCCTCTCCAACACAGCGAGTTTACAGTCTGCTTGAGAACTCACCGCACTCATCAGGGAGTCGAGTACACTGACAGCGAAGGCCGTGCCGCAGGCGAAGGGCTGAGTGAGGTACAGCTCTGTGTCTGGGTCGTCATCATCATCTTGGTCCAGGAACTGAACGTTCGAGTCGTTCACTGAGAGAAGGGGGGAAGCACCGCTGAGTTAGAGGAGGGCACTGTGAAGTCCACACGCTCACACATAAACACCAACACACCTGAGAGTTTAGGAGTAAGGATTTGTTGTTGTTGTTTTTTGTTTATGTTGAGTTGCATTTGAAAAGATTTGGCTACATCACGGTAAAGTCTCAGGTATATAGGTATTGATGGAGGGTTGGAACTCGTAATATAATGTAACTTAAGATGCACATTATATTTTTGCTTTTACACCGCAAAGTGCACTTATTCTTAACCACAAGAACTTTATTTCTTCTCCAAACAATTGACATGTTTTCATAGGTTCTAAATAGCTGTCTGAATTAGCAGTCGGGCTAAAAAATAAAATAAATAATAAATCCATGTATTGTATAATTGTTTGGAATGTGAAAAAAAGCGTTTTTGACTATGAGTAAAAAATATTTAATCTTATATGTACTGTATATAACATGCAGGGTGCATTTCATACATTTAGACAAAACACAACTTCAGGAATATTTAGAGCATCTTATGCACACACAGTGATAACCATTGCAGAAGTCCCCAATTTTAGCACCTCGGTCGTCACTGCATCTTTTTTTTCTTTTCTTTTAGCTCCACACACACGAACAGACAAATTAAAATGCAGTGACCAGACCTTTCTTTTCAAAGAATAAACAGTATTTCTTTTTGCATCCAGTGAACATCGAGACTTCAACAATGGCTACTGTCTCACATGAGAAAACCATGCACTTCAAAAGTCATGCTATGCTTTTTTTTTCTTTTTTTGTAGAGCTTTCTATGATGGATGTGTTTGTCACATCATCACCTTTAATCTCACATATTTACCTGTGCCCTGAAAGTCAAATTTAAGCCAGGTAACAACACACTTCTTATAATCACGATTAATAATAATAATGAATCAGGTCTGCCAAAGGAATTAAACGGCACAGTGTGAATAAAAAGCAACCCAATACTGAAAGAAAAGGGATCTCATTCATAAGTGGGTAGAGTACAAAACACCACCCTGTTGTGCGTATCTTTTGCCCTAAATTGCATCTCTAGCAGCAGTGGGCAGCTGAGGGCCGATAAACCAATGTCGCTTGAAAAACGAGCGTCTTACAAGTTTTTGTTTGACTCGTGTGATACGTGCTTCAGAGATATGCTATGCTATGGAGAAGAGGAAAAAAGCAAAAGAAGCTGGCAAATAAATTTTAAATAAATAAACGGCTTAAAAGATGGATTGATCTTGAGTTTTTCTTTTTGTTTTTGAAATCTGATTTTTTCCTTGGCTTCCTGTGAGCTGTGGAACAGAAATGTCAGTCAAAGAGACAAGGGGGGCTGATGCAAACAGGCCCGGGCCAAAGGAGTGAACGGGGGTGAGTGGGGAAAAAAAAAAAAAAAAAAAGGGGAGGTTGGGGTGGCTGAGCATGTGAGTGTGTTTGCAGGAGGAGGGTTTTGGTGAGGGGGCCGAGGGGGTGTTGCTATGAAAACAGCCACAAGGACAGACTGAGCATCTGTGTGTTTCTTTAACCCCCTCTGTCACAGTAGAAGCGTGATAGGGAAAAAAAAAAAAAAAAAGAAGGGGAGGTTGGGGTGGCTGAGCATGTGAGTGTGTTTGCAGGAGGAGGGTTTTGGTGAGGGGGCCGAGGGGGTGTTGCTATGAAAACAGCCACAAGGACAGACTGAGCATGATCAAAGGCCGAGCGATGCTCTGCAAACGCAACTGGAGGAGAGAAAAAAAAAAAACCCCAAAAAGAGTAGAAAAAAAAATCATTAAAAAAAAAAGGGCCAAAACAAGACAGTCAATTTCAACCAGAACGAAGAATAAAAATGTGTTCAAAGTGAAGCCATGGGAGCAGCGAGGGCCTTGACTGCAGCCAGATAAATCAAGACAAGCTGATGAGGAGCGGGGCGGCGGAGCGAGGGAGCGAACGGCAGCACAGGACAAAGGCTCAGCTTACCCAGCTCTGTTATCATTTGTATGTTGGTTCCACTTTTTTTTTCCTGACTGAGTGAAACCAATGGCAGTAGTTTGCCAGGTTTAGCTAATGGTGATGAGACAGTGCAGAGAGGGGGAGAAATGGGTGTCGTTATTGAAACAGTTTCAAAGACTGCAAAAAAAAGAAAAAAAAAGAAAAAAGAAATATCGTTGTCTTAGGCTACCCCTGTCAACTCCGGAATTACTCTGAAACACTCATGGTTGTCCGGAGTCTAAAAGTGAAGCGCCCCGGATTAGAGCGCACAGTTTCGACACAAAGCCGGAGCTGTCACGACGCTACACCACGACAAGAACAATAAATTATTTCATGGTGAAACAGTGAAAAGGATAAACAAGGTCTTATCCGTAAACACACCTACTTCACGCGCCATGCAAACAAAATTGATCATGCAACTCGGATGAGGCGTGTTTTTTATGTTTCAACTTGACTTTAATCTTCTCCTGGCGCTGCAACCTGAATATATGACAGTGTAATTACAGTATATGGTTCCAGTGAGACATGCAGCCACCCTCTCTTCTCTATGCTCTTACTCCTTCCCCTCCTGAGGGACAATGTTATCACATCTAGTGTTTGCTGCAGCTGTGAAATTTGTTAGCAACCCGGCGTGCAGAGGCACAACTGCTACCGGTGTTCGAGTCCAGGACGGAAACCAATGACTCCAACGCGGACTATCTAGTTTTGATGATTACATATGCGGTCAGCGGTGTAATGGGAGAGCCTCGATTCGGGTAATGGCTGGCCCGGTTACAAGTAACATTAGGTGGCTCCTTTCTCTCTCTCTGGCCTTTTCTTAGCTGGCCTCATGCTCCATTGCTCCCTAATTGGGTCAGGGGAGACAGAGTAGCTGGTCTCTGGTGCTTTAGAAAGCCCCTCAGAGATCTGAAAGTTTCATGAGTCCCCATCACCAGTGGGAATACAACCACTGGCATTGTTATTAATAAATGGACCCATTTTGCAACCGAGGCACTTTTTTTTTTTTTTTTCCTCTACGTTTTCTCTCCTCTTTGCTTTTCTCCCGCTCTCACCCTATCCATCGGGCTGAGTTTCTCTTGTCCATTAGGGGACAAATTGCAGGAGATGTAGCTTTTGTCCCAAAAGTGCCCGTCTGACATCTTCAAGTTGAGTCACCGTTTGACGAGAACGAGCAAGATCCGATAACTGAACATGAGCGTGAGTTGGGCAAAGCTAACCGGCACCATGAAAGTGAGCAAAAATTCCACACATGGCATTCCTTAGTCCGCTTGACCTTGAATGAGTTGGAACTTTTGGTAGCAGAATGGAGTCTTGGATTATCGGCTCTGTGTGTCTTTGTCTGGGGATGGATAATGAGTTGATCTGAGGTTTACTGGGCACGGGCATGCGACGTTGTGCGTTTGAGGTGGGCGGGAAACGGCTTTACCTAGTTCGGTGATGATGGGGATGTTGGATCCGGTGGTGACGGAAGCCTGACGCACAAAGCCATGTACTGGACTGCTGTCTGGAGATGACCTGTCCATTCCAGGAGGCGTGAAACCTGAACACAACAGGAAGCACAGATATAGGCTGCAGAACACATCAGAAAATAATATAATGGGTAGCATTAAGAGATCAAGAGGTTGTAAAGCTTTCCTTTGTTGCAGAACATATACAATATTTAAAAACACTGATACTTTGCTAACATTGTGCTGTTGGATAATCTCCATGGAAAGGGCAGGAAATATTATCTCAGCTTTGTCGTTTATATTCTGGAGCAATTTTATATTTTTTTAGTGATGCAAGATATTAAAATTTCTGGCCAATATCTGATATTAAGATTTCTGATATTGCCGATAACAGATATGATCCATGTCGATATTAAATTTTTGTTCACACCGAAAAACAAGTGTAAGTAAGCACTGTGAGAGCATGAAAACTATTCAAAAGAAGCCCAAATTAGACCACATAGTCTTCTTTATTACGTAACAAAAGTAAAACACATTTAAACATATTTAACATTCAAGTCCAGGAACATTTAAGTAAAAACATCTGTGAAATAGCAGCGATATCAAATGTAGAGACGAAGGCATTAATGTTAGACAATCATTGTTTTTTTACATGGGCTAAATTTGGACCGATACTGATAAATTGGAAAAAACACTAATATCGGCCGATGCCGATTTGGTCGTTGATATATCGTGCATCCCTAATTTATTTATTTTTTTAAAGAAAATCTCCTTAGTTGCATTGTTCAAGTTAATATTCATCGGTGTATCTCTATTTGCTGTGTTTCCATCTGTCTTTTTTATTATTTATAATGAAATTGATACAATAAATAAAGAACAATTGAAAAAGAATGAAAAAAAAAAGTTAACTTCACCACAGCAAAGCCTGTGAGTTACCAATTAATGAGATCAAAAGTATTAACTGGGTTTTATTCTCCATCATGAATCACTTTACTGATTTAGTTATGTGATCTAATACAAAATATGAATACGTAGAAATAATATATAAGCAATAAATAAATATAGTCATCTTGTTTTTGCTAACTTGGCTGTTTTTCTGTGACAAAGATTGCAATAGGTTGTGTATGATGTGTATGCATTGCCTTTAGAACCCACAGATTACAAAACCACAGTGCAGTTACTATAACAATTACAGTAACTGCACTCTGCTCCATTTTGTAGTTTTTGTGTCGTACATGCTGCAAACATGAAATGTTATTTAGTTTAACAATTGTTAATATGGTACACAACCATTAAAAAAGTCAGAGTCAAGGCTTCTTTTTTAAACTAGATGCTAGTTTTAGTTACTTTTTAGAAGCTTGGATTCACAGGGTAGTAATCTGTGTTACGTTATTTTCTGGTGAAGGAGAAACACACTCTTGTTATTGTGTTTTACTACAGAAGTATCATGAGCACAAGGACATGACTCGAAACTTTGCAGCAGTACAATTATCCAGTATATTGCACTTGTCAGCTCACTCGGCATTGAGTTGTTGATGTGTGCTTTCTGTATCATTGAAATATGTGGATTGGCAGAAAAAGGAAAAAAAAAAAAAAAAACAGAGAGAGGGAGAAGAGGGCTAAGTAAACAAGGCGCCTGCCTAAAAATTGCAGTATGGATACTGTGCTTTTAGGGGTCAGCTAAGACATATTTAGCATTCACATCGCTCCATCAACGGGCAGACATAAATTTTATATGTTGTTCATTTTGTTACGATAAAATTGGTGAAGTGGATCCTGAAAACCTTTTATCGGAAATGGTGTGGCACAGAACCATGAAATACAAGTGCAAGTGACAGGAGTATGAATTCACATGACTTCACATTTTTGCATTTCCTCAAAGTGACAAGTAAACACCTTAAATCTGTAATGCTATATGCATAATGCATCAACTGTGTTTTGACATCCATCATTTAGTGCTGACTACAGCAAAATGTCAGCTTATAGTGCCACCACCAAGGAAACATAATGCACGGAATATATTCAGGTCACAAAGTTTTAAAAGGATTGCAAATTCTGCATGTGTGTGTGTGCGCGTGTGTGTGTGCGTGCGCCTTTCCTGTCAAGAAACTCAATGAGCTGCTTACATTACAAAAGAGATCTTTCAGCCCTTTGCAATGGAAAAGACACCAGATAGTTTAGTACGCAGCAGGAAGCACACACTGAACTGAAGCATGGATAATCATAACTTTTGTTACACCAATTATTGAACTAGGAAATAGCAGCGGTTTGACACTGGGTGTCAACCGGGGAGCACAGGCTCAGATAGTGCGAACATCATTTTGTCGATGTCCATAAAGGATGATGTTTACTCCACTGGAGAGTGACAGCAAGTTTTTTGGGGATTCTACCTCTAAAACGCTGCTCTTACGGTATCATAGTGAACATGAAGACAGTGCAGAGATGTAGGAGTGCAGCTTCCGTTCTTCTGCGCAATGCACACACCAGAAAGTGATGCTGGTGAAATCAGGGATACACGAGGCCTGCTGCTGAGTCGCTTTCAAAACCCGTTACAGGCTACAAACAGCTCAAAAGATGCAATGCGACGTGAACTCGTGAGCTCCAAACAGAGAGCTGTATGTCTTCACTGAGTACTGCAAAAACAGCAGCGCCGAAACGTGTTTATCCACCTGATCACTCTAATCTCCCTCTGAGTTCATGCAAAAGTTGAATTCCAACATGAAACACGTAAATGAAGGTCTTGTGCTTCTTTATGCAATTAAATCTAAAGTCCTTCTGCATAAAATGATAACAATTATGCTTCCTAAATCCTTTTTTACTGATAGTTAATTATGTCTGGAGGTGTTTGTAACCTCATATGCATGTTTTATAATCCGTATATCTGTAAAATGAACTCAACAAAATGTGCGGCCCACAATAGAGAAGCAGTTTCAGAAGCAGCCCCGATCACACACGGTCTCTTCTCTTCTGGCTGCTGCTACTGTACGGCTGTAACTTATTTTGTTCAGCTACAATGTACAATAGACAAGCGAGATCTGGGTTACATACCCCCTTATCCCTGTAGCCCCGCAGGCACAGCTATGCTCTGTGGTTGACTACATGCTACAGCAGCCGTGAGAAGCTCTCCCCCAGGAAAGCCAATGTTTACTTATTCATTTGCACCTTCTAAATTCCACAGACAGTGCCTGAATGGGAGCATAACTAGGAGGAAGGAATCCTCGCAGCAATACCAACAATACAATAACAGCGTCTGAGCATGTGCGCGCGTCTTGTTGTGTATGCGTGATCGCACGTCACAGGGTGTGTGTGTGTGTTTTCTTAAATTGCTGGTTAATGTAAGACCCAATTATTGATAACTCCATGCTCCGTCCATCGATCCGGGGAGAAGCTATAGACCGGTGGGCTTCTGTATTGAGGTGACTTTCTGTGAGTAGTGCTCCCCAGAGCGGCGTGCTCTCAGATTTACCCCTGCTTATTGTTCCTTGGTGGCGGTGCTATCGACAGCGTATCACTCACTCAAGCCTGGAGAAATAACAGCATTGGCATTCTCCTAAAACATGTGGAAGTGCTCGGCACTAAAAAATAATAGCCTCTTGAACCTTCAACTTTGATTTGTATTTACAACAGTCACTGTGGTGGCATTAAATAGTGTTGAGCTCAAGGCATGCCATGCCTTTCAAGCTAATCATAAACTGAGGATTACCTGTTTGTGGATGTTTGTGGATAGATTGCTTTGGCCTGCATGTGTGTTACGCGCACAAACATATGCACACACGCTCCAACACACAAAAAAAAAGTGTGTGCGTGCATGTGTCGCTGTTTTGTTGTGACTAATGAGGAGCAGCTGAATTGGCCTGCCTGGTGATTTGTACTAGCTGCTTAATGATGATGAGGCCTGATGGGATGCCAGGTTCGTATGTTTGTCTGCAAACATCAACAATCTGTTCCAGACGATCTGCCAGACTCCAGATCAGGGGGAACAACATCAAATGACACAGTCATGTTGATTACATCATTAAAAAGTATTATCAAAGAGGTTTAGCAGCATCTAATTACCAGGGACAAGACTGAAATCATCTGAAAATTACGTGGAGTAAACACTCTTCAAAGGCTTGATGAAGCAATCAGCAACGTGTTTCGTGTGTGTGTGTGTGTGTGTGTGTGTCTTCAGGAGTTACAGTAATGTCAGTTTATGGTTAATACTCAAAGCAGACTTGCAGGGAATTTCGATTAAGAACACTTATAAGACAGTGCTTGACAAACTATATCCGTCCCTCCTGTGTGGCCTTCTAAACCCCCTCCAGTCTTTTCCTCTCTTCTTTTTCCCTTTCTGACTACTGTCTTCCCTCCCTGCCATAACCTGTCCCTTTTGGGCAGCAGTGTACATGGAGTCTAATAGGACGCTTCTTACCTTGGGAATTAGCCTGTAAGACCCCAATGCTGTCATCAAACTGCATAGATTTGATGTTGAGTGATGCCAAGATGCATTCCTTATCCTGCAGTGAGGCATCTTCGATATTGTTCTGATTGGCTGACAGTATTACGCACATGTCGCAGAGGTTGATGTTGACAGCCCTTAAATCTGCCCGACTTAATGGTGTACCCTTCAGGGTGAGGAGAACACAGAGAAAGAGCAAGACAGCGAGAGATAGAGAGAGAGAGAGAAAGAGAGAGAAAGAAAAACGCAGAGAACAGACAGACATGGGGGAGAGAAAAACAAATTTAAGAAGTGAGCGGAGGGGAGCTTTGGGAAATTAGTTAACAAGTATTCTTGTTTTGAGGCGATGACATTCCACTGATCTAACTGGGCGTTGGAGATTCAGAGACATGGACTCATCTAAAGGCTAGCCTGCGCTGAGGGCTGTGTTTGGGATCCTCCTCTGATCATCAGTCAAGCCAGGCCTAACAAGCTCTAAGGCAGCGAGCCACGCCATCTGTGATGGGCACTGCAGCTGCAACACTCATAAACTCCACTGTGGATATGCAGGATGTGTCACTGCTCTGGATACAGAAGGGTTCACTGAGCTCTCATGGAGTGATCATTCAATTGAGCAATGTGTGATCAAATCAAAATGATAAACCCTCGCCAGATTTCAATGAGCGTGTAACTCAAAACACTTCGTTAGTTAAACACACATTCTGTTTGAAATGTCTACGTTACATGCCAGTGAACTAGCACACTCACAGGTAAGATGGAGACCTTGGGGAAGTTGTGTAAAGTTTCCCACTCTCTTCGCAGGTAATCCAGCGAGCCCACGAAAACTATAGGCTTTAGCTCATGATAATGGAAGTTGCTGGCTCTTAAAGGCATCACCAAGTTTCGCAGCCCCACTAAAGCGGACGTGACATCCCCAAATATACAGACCACTACATGGCCGCTCAGGACTGTCATGGAGGCTTCACTCCGGGTCTGCAGGGAACACAAAGGGGAAGGGGGAGAAAAAGAGAGAGGAATGAGAAAAAAAAGTGTAGACAGAGAAGAGAGGATAAGGCACACAGAGACAAACACAGATCCACAGAATAGACATGAATGCTTTTAACAGAACACTAGGCAATGTGCACGAGGTAACACATTCTAGACTTTGCTTAAAAGTAAAACATAAACTGTTATAAATCCACATTTAATAGTTTGTTAACCAAGCGGCTATGTATTTAATCACCCATCATTAAACTATACGTTACACTGACACATTTACATGAACAAAGGTTTGGTTAACCACTATTCTGTTTATAAGCAGTTTATTAGACAACCAGAAATAGTCATTTTACAGAACAAAGACGAAATGCAGACTTTTTCAAAGGGAAGCAGATACAGTCATACTGGAAAAAAATGCAGTTTGTAAGATTTCAGGCTCATACAGGACGTACTGTATGACTGGGATACGTTCATTAAAAAAAAGAAATGTATAAATAAACCTCTATTGTTAGTAATTTCATGAACAATGCGTCGCTTTTAAGATCTGTCACACCGGCTCCGTGCGCCTTTGATTGCAAATTTGGGCGCATGTTAAGTAAGTTAAACGATACTGTGTTATCATCTGATGTGAAACTATAACTATCTTATTTTATTAGAGGCATAAAGTAACGGAGCAATAAGATGCCTGATCTCATGATTAAAAATATTTGAACAATTTTGATTAGCTAGAACATTTTTTGGGGATCCAGCTAATGAAGAAATGTCCTTCAGACTCCCTCAAACTGAGTGAGAATTAAAGTTTAAGTCAATGGTGCGTGAGTCAGACAAGAGCAACGGACACCCTATACGTTACCGACACAGGTGAGTGTGATTTCCATTTTATATTTGATTTGGACACGGCTAACTGTACCCAAATGAAGTACGCATTGTGATAAATGCTTACAAACTGCCTTGGTAGAACACCTGAGCAAACTCATGCGTGAAGAGTTGAAATGCTGTTCACAGATCCTCGGTGGATAAATATATAAAAAAACAAACTCACCTTGAAACAACAGAGAGGCAGTGAGAGAAATTTCAATACACATTAGTATGTGATTGTGTTACTGCAGCATTGTGGGGAAACGATGGCTCCTGAGCATACTTACTTTAACTTCCTTTTTGTTTTTTTTTATTAATAAATATTCTATTGTTTGTTTTTTTTTTTACTGGATTGCATTTACAAAGGTCTTGCCCCACTTACCAGGATGACTTTTTCGATGTCTTTTGAAGGGCACCAGTGAAACATCCCTGTCGAGTCATACCTCTTCACGTTCATGTCCATGTTCTCAATTTGTTCATTTCCAGGAATTAGAAGAGGGTCGTGCCGACTGAAAAACAAAATACATATTTATGTCAGATCATTTTTTTGACTGTAACCTTGTGAATGTACCACGAAAGAGGTGAAAGACAACAAGAGTGTCTTGAGATCTACACTGTATGTTCACTCATCCCATTCTCCAACTGATAAACTTTCTACAGCTCTGCATACTGTAGGTCCCATAACCACCATATCATTCCACCATTCCTTTTTGTCCTTGATGTCAAGGCAGCAGAAAACTCAAAGACCCTGGTGCTCACAGTGGTACAGAGAAGAACAGCAAGACTTGAGTGCTACTGACTGAATGGCATGACAACACAAGGCCAATTATCAGCTTTTACCCTGTCTTCCAGTTCCTGACGCCGTGTGGCGCAAATAGTAAAAGCTCCAACAGGCTCACACTTTAAATATTTCAGGAATTTGCCCAATCATATTTTGCTTTTCCAACTGATGGCCATGAATGTTTCAACAGCATGTCACAACCAAACAGGCTAATCCACAGCAGTGGGCTGCTGAGTTTTATCCAGTGTAACACTGACCATGAAAGGGCTCCTGTCAGTCCTGTTATACCGCCTCTCCTGTTCTTGCACTTATTCTACAAGACATGTTCTCACAGCTCCTCTAAACACAATCCAGAAAATTTAATCAAAAACACTGAGTCAAGATAAACTGGAAAAATGCAACGCTTTTCCTCAACACAAAAAAAATGTTTGTTTAACAGCAATGCAAATTTAATTTATTTACAATTTAACCCAAATACTGAAATCCTTCGTTAAAGCAGTGCTATGCAGACTCCTAAAACAGGGAACTGAAGAGAGATAGACATGCGAGTAATATGGGAGAAAACATCTCAAAAATTTGACATACATCTCTCTCAGTATCACTCTCTCTATCCTCTATCAACACTGTCATTCACTGACAAGGCTTTGATGTTGTCTCTTCCTTCAACCTGCATTTGGATTGCATGCCATCGCAGGAAAAGTAAAAGTTTAAAAAAAAAAGGAAGCTGTCAATTAGCCACCGTCTCTCTCCACCTCTCTTTCCCCCCCTCTTCCCTCTATCAGTTAGAGCAGGTGATAATAACACTGACAGCATTTAGTGTTTTTACACTCAGCCTGAATCTTTCATCCAGAGCCGCGTGTTGCGCCAATCAACTCCACGGAGCCCCCCCGTCACTTCAATCTGCTCAGCTCTGCTCGCCTCCACACAGGGGCTGACTGGCGCATGCAGGCGGGCTGCCGCTCCACCTCTCTCTGCCAAGACAGCTATCTTTCACAGAGCTGTCAGCGGTGTGACTGGCAGCCTGTCACAGGCTCCACACACCTCCTTCTCCCTCTTCCTTCTCCGTGCCTCGGGTTGAACCTACCACAAGGCTCAGGGAGAGCAGACATGACGTCTGTGCTACAGGGCCACGCCCAAGGGATATCAGCTGCGGATGATACTGTGACATCCTCTGCAATTGGATGTGTGTTGTCAGTCATGACCTGTCAGGAATGTTTGTGGGAATGGTGTTAATTCCGTGGTGGCAACGCGGCTCATTAGCACGGTGACACATCGGACTGGCTACTAGTAAAGCACTGACATGGCCGGGCTAAATGTCAGCCAACAAATCACGGCAATTGAATAAATAAATTGCGGAAATATTTATTTTGCTACAGAGAGTTGCTGTTGATATTTTTTCCTGATAAAACTATATTCACAAAATTTCTAAATTGCAGAAAATCACAATGAATCAGATTGTAAGCGAATATCTTTCCCTGGGTGAGAAACAATCTTTTATCAAATGCACCTTTATGTAGGACAAACCGTATTTCCCTTACAGCACGCCTCACTCCAGTGTCTTACCCCCTCTCTTTCTTTCTAACTCTCTCCCTCAGTATATATTTGTGAGCTGAGTTATTCCAGTGTATCACTCTGCAGTCACAAGCTGGGGATGGGCGTGCTCCCCCAATCCCTCTCTGCCAGACTACGAAGGCAGCCTCTTGCTTTGAAAATTTTCCCCATCATGCAAACTGACAAAGGCATGCTTTTCAAAAGCCCACAGCCAATCTGTTGATCATTATTTATTTACAAAGGCCTTCAGGCTGCAAGTCCTGTAAAAACCATACTTGATACGTATGTTCGCTCTCTCGCTAGCTCTCTACTGTGTTTTCCCCCTTCTTGCTTGTAGAATAAAGTATCCCTAAGGCTACCTCAAACAATCACTTTTCATTGTGCATAAAATCCACCTTGTAAAGCACAACTGTTTAATATATATGGTGTTATATGTTGACAGGGGCAGCCGTGAAGGGGGGGCTGTGGACTATGATGGGTAATTTGATGTTCTGCTAAAGGCTAAGACTTGGAAAAAAATCTACACCTATAACAGAGGACCTGTCATCCCAGTACCCAAGAGCCAGCAGAATACAGAAGCAGCCCTAAAGCAGAGAAAACTTTGACACCGCTTTGAAGCGTTTTCAAAACTGAGTAAATAACTCGCAAGGATTATTATCACTGCGAGATCAAAGCGAAGATGCATATATTACATGGCAAATGGGGACCATCTCCTAAGCAGAAAAGGAAGAGAAGAAAAGGTTTTGTGCTTTAAGTTGGGCAAACTAAACAGCCTTTTAAACAAGCAGTTAGCTGGAAATGTGCCAATGCCTCGTTGTTTTCGTAGCAGTTTTCTCCCTCTGAGCAAGGGCATCTAAAATGATGCTCTGTTGCAAACTAGACTGAAGGGTATGACTCTGTGTTGAGCTAATGGTTTGGCAAGTGTGAAGGCTTATTAAGTCCTTGTTTTGTTGAGAACTGAGGGGGAGGCCGACAAGTATGCTGGACAAAATCACACAGGCATGCCAGTGCAGTAGGAGGATTGCTGCCTAAGGGAACCTAGCAGGACTAACATACAAAGAACTCGATCAGAATGTAAGGAAAACACACACACACACACACACACACACACCCGCGTAGTACAATAATAACCAAAACAGCATGTTTTATATGGAAACATAGAACAGAATGGATTTACTCTTTATTATACATTTATGCATAGCTTCTATTTGCAAAGTTTTAACACTCTGTAACAGACAAATTGTTCTTTTTTTGCTTTTAAAGATTTACATTCCATTCATAAAATATTTTTGTTTGTTTTTTTTCACCCACATAATTCAGATCTTGCAGTTTCTACTGCAGTGCAGCGCGCCTGAATAAACACTGATAGTGACAAGTGTGTGTGTGTGACAAAAAAAAAACAGGCCTTTCTTTAGCTTTTCCTCATATAAAGTCATAAAGCTGATGGCCTCAACACTCCCTCTCATTAAGAGACGAGCAGTGTAGCTATGAGTGTTTCTGTCCTGTTAGATCTTCGCCATGGCGCCTTTATTCCGCCGTCCCAATCCGCACAGCTCGGCCTTCCTGTATTTTCCTCGCTGTCGTGCGTCTCACCCCGCCTCGCAGCCAGAGGAGCACAAAAACCTACCCCCTTTTATCTTTCAAAATCAATTAACAGCAATTTAATTCCACAGGACAGGATAAAAGGAAGGTAATATTTGAATTCATACTTGATTGTGATGATACATCTCGCATATGGCCTTAAGTACCAGAAACGCTACTCACAGGGGTTCCCACAATAGAGGAGTAGCCTGAGGGCAAAGTAACCATGCAGGTCCCTCTGATTGGTTGCTGGTGTCATTAGTGCCAGCATTGTTTAAGTAGTACATGTGGACCAGACCGGAGGAGGTGACAGCTGGGACTTTAAAGCCAAGAGGAGTTTTCAAAACGGGCTCCTCGCAGCCGCTTTTCATGACAGAAATATTATTTCAGCTCTGTCATTAACAGCTGACAGCATGCCATCCTAAACAGCCAGAGCTTAACAGGGCATTTCTCCTCTCTTTTTCACTCACAGAGTTTCTTACCTCCCTCTTCTGCCACCCCTAATTTGCCCTTTCCTATCCATCCAAACTCCCACCATCTCACCATCAGCAGCATACGCCTCTGAAGTATCTCTCAGACACATCTCTCCTTCCCTTTTCTCCCTCCCTCCCTTCCTTCTTCCCTATATCTGACTACCTCTCACTCCCCCTTTTGAAGGCTGGAAGGAGAATAAAATCAGCGTCTCTTACCTCATCATTTTGGGCGAGCAGTTGGGTGAGTTTCGCATCCCTCCGTTGCGCTGCTTTTTTTTGGGCGAGAGAGTTGATGGATGCTCGTCTTCAACTGAAATAACATGCGCAGGATGTTAGAATAGAGACAGATGGTTTGAGGAAGTGTGCTGGACCTGACATTGAAAAAAAATAAATAAATAAAAAAAAATTGCCAACAATCAATCAATCATTGCAAACAAAGAAAAAAAAAAGAACTAAACACAAGAAAAGAAAAAAAAAATTAATAATTCAGTGTCAAATTGAGAAAATATATAGAAAGCATTAGTAACGGGACAATGGTAAATCTGAGAAAGGCAGGAGAAAACCACGGAGAAAAACCAATTTATGACCTGAAAATGTCATGGAAGGCTCACATCCCAAAACCCCCCATATTTTGGCTCTTCTAAGGTGCACTTTGACAGGGCCTACAGTGATACACTGCTGCGTCTGTTCACCCACTAAATTGTGCAGGTGGTTGGACCTCTAGCAGTCTGCATCAGAGTGACCGTGCTTACCTACACCATTAATTGCCATGTGATGATACAAGACTATCATTGTCAGTGGGGCACGGGCAAAAAGCAATGACAATGAGATAGAGAACGGTTATGGAGATGGATCTTGAGTGGGTGGTTCGTTTATTTCTTTTAATAAAAAAAAAAACTATCTGAACCCCACCCCATCACTCGGGGGTTCTTACTAAAGCGCACAATGGCTCTTCTACAGGTCTACCTCCATGCCACGAGAACATCGAGCACTCAGCACACATCGTGAAGGTCAGGGTACGAATTAGTGGACTATAAATATTGAAAGCAGCTAGTAAAAGCACATCATCCTCCAGTAGAAGAAGGTCAGAACTAGTCTTCCAAGTTTAAATGAAAAATAAATGTTTCATGTAACATTAAATATTTCATTTCTAAAGCTTTGGTGTTAAGCGTTGTGCAGGACACTGAACCACAGTCAAAATGTTCTTTTTCTTTTAAAGATTATTTGATCAGTTTTGAGTTCAGTTTCCTGTCAAAAATGCTTTGCTATGTCGAGAAACACAAGAGAAAAACACTGTTTTTCAAAACTTTGCTTGAGTCCCAGTCAGACGGAGAGAATGAGACGGAGCAGCCGGAGTGAGGCCAGGCCCGGTCGTCTGAAGACTTCAGTCAAGCTAACAGTAGTCTGATCTTCACTACTGTCTGTGAGTTTCAAGAGCGTGCAGACAAGCACCCAGATACTCTTTTCCAATCTACGCTCTTCCCAGCGCAAATGCCAAGTGCACCGTCACTTCAAACCCATATTAGTCCTTTGGTTAGAAATCAATAACACAGCATGATATTAGCGCAAATCAATGTGCAACACCGCAAGCCGTGACTATTCCAAGCATGTGGAATTTCATTATTGTCTGAGCACCCATTCTAGGGCTGTCACCTAATTCTGCTAATAAAAGATAAGAAATATGACTTTGCCTCCTAATAAAATGTCATTCTCTGACATTTCCTTTATGCAATTGGGCATTCAGAATAGCTAATATCACAAGCACTTTCCACTTTGCAAATAATTCTCTCTCTAATGTACTTTGAAAATACCACATCAGAAAATATGCATTCCCTGCTATATTATTTGACAGGCTCCTCCTGGTTTAAACTTAATTTGTTAACAGTAAAAAACGTAGCACTTCTCACTTACATCCACAACAATAAAATGAAATTCTTTCCAGCCACTGTGCAATAAAAAGCTCTTCCACATAAATATATGAGACTAAAACTTCAGCTCCCAAAGGTCAGTATCCTCAGTGCTCAGAGCTCACAACTCCTGCAACAATCCTCAAATAATATAAATACTATTTTGTGTGAATTCTAAATTCACATCTTATATTACTCCTCAGTTTGGAAGTCAACCCATGGTGACAGTAGCAGCCACTGCACTAGCAGGCGTATACCGTGCAAAGCAGCAGGAGCAACAACAGCAGCAGCTCCAGCAGAGCAACCATCATGCAGCAAAATGAAGGAACGGGACAGGCAGGGTTACTGACTGATGCATCCCGCTAAGGGGGCAACCTACAGTGCCTACTGTGACTGAGCAGCATGGCATTACTGGGGTGGTAGCGGTATTTCACCGGCAGACTGCGGGCCCGGTTCAGTCGACTCTCAGCCAGGGATCTGGCCGCCACGTCTCCTGGACCTGAGATACTGAGGCGCGATTGCGAGGGGACAGCCCTGGGCCCCGGCCCCATGGGGAGCAGGCTTCCTTTACGGTTATTAACAAGAGGGATGTGTGTGCCTGGATTGACCAGGGGGTCCTGGTTGGGGTGCAGGGCGTTGGGAAGGAATGCATTTGAGGTGATGGAGGTGGAGTTGCAGCCGGTGGTTTTAAGTGATCGGTTTTGAATAGATGGTCTAACTTCATCCATTACTGTCAAATAGTGGAGAATAAAAAGTGGGAGAAAGCCTGTATTAATTCTCATAAATTAGCAATTAAACTACAGTGTTTAAGTGCTGAAAAATAATTTATGTCATTTATGCCATGTTTATTTTAAGCTATATATTTGTAAAGGGTAAACAAATTCCACAAAACATAAATCAACATTTTACTGAAGAAAGTTAACCAGTCAATTGGTAAATAAAAAAGAAATTTACAAAATGAAATGTAAAAACTTTTTAACAAACAGAATCAAACAAAAGATTGTTTTTCTTTTTTTCAGTTTTGATTGAAATAAAAAAAATATATTTACATTTTTTTTAAAGTCATGCTGTAAAAGCAAGAATTACTCTAATTCTAACTGAAATGTTCACAGTGGCATTTACTTTGCATTTGTGACAAACATGAATTAATTAGAAGTCTTATATTTCTCATTTGTGCTACATTTTCTGGTTGAACAAAGCAGGGACATGACTTGGCGAAAGCCAGTCAAATCTAATCAAACATCGTCATTTCAAGCACAACATGTAGCACAGCACTTTCAACAAATATAAAACTAGGACTAATAATTTATAATATTACTAATTCAAAACCTTTAATCATTAAAAATGTATTGGACTCATTTTGGATTGTGTATAGAAATGTGCTTTAGTTGCAGACAAAAGAAATGCAGTAATTCTATTATCAAACAGGACAATTATAAAGATATTTTTAAACAGTAACTGCAGTTGACAAAGTGTCTAATAAGAAAATAAATATTCTGTTTATGTACACCTGATGTTCAGCCAGCCATCCCACAGCACTCACACACACACACAAACACACGGTCTGACTGTGGCTGCAGAGTTAACCCCCACGTTTGCATGAACTGAAGGGGTCATGGAACACTGCGGGAAGACAACAGAGGAAGATGAGTAAAATATCTGGTTGTAAAGTTGACTGGGAGAGGCGGAGCCCTTTTTCCTGCCTTTGGTGGAAGGGTGGTTTGGTTGGTTGTTTGGAGGAGAGAAGCATGCTTGGGTGGCCCTGGGCGATAAACAGACGTTTATCCCAGCCGTCAGCTGCCTCCTTGATTTACAGGGCGCCACCGATAGCTCCTGGATTCATCTGGCCCTTGTCAAACACGTGCAGCGTTACAGAGCATTCACCCGCCCTGGCAGGTCCACTGTGCACCCTGAACAACCCAGACGGCAACTGTCCCTTCTTGAAATGCTAATCACATGATGGTACTGTCCTGCATGCAAGCCTTATCAGATCGCCATGACCCAATGTAAACTAGATGATGAGGCGGAGGGAGAACAACTAAAAATGTTTACTTTTGTATGTGAGCTAAGCTGGCTTTGCCTTTACAGTGTTTGCTGCATGGGCAAGCTTTGTTCTTCAACTGCATTGCAAGTGCATGAAATAGCTTTTGAGGCCATGCACAACATGTCGTGTTGTTACGGGGGGAAAAATAAAACTGGTATTATGATTACTGCGATTCCTTTTAGTTTTTGCTGAAGTAGGCAGCCATTATCTCGAAGAGGAAACAAAAAAATGTCTTCAATATCAAAATGCTTGATAAGAACAAGTACATTAAATGAAAATATGCACATAAAATGTTAGAGGTGACAAATAACATTTCAAAACTAGAATTTATTCTTAACCAGTAACCAGTAAAAAAGTAATGCATTTGATAATTATTTACCAAAGATTTACCTATATTGCAATCAGCTTTGAATCGAACGCCAGTCTCTTTTTGGCTTCCACTGTTCCCTGGTGTTGTAGCGCCATCTGCTGCTACATGCAGCACAATACAAAAAGAATATTTCATGGAACTCCAAGGCGTTATCAAACACAAAATAATTTCTTTTCAGTTGCTATAAATACCAGGAACTCATTACTTTAATGTCCTAGCAACATATGTTGAAATTATTTAATGATAGTTAAGTTAGAATAAAGTCTCTGTTTGAATTAAACATTGAATTTAACTGGTTTAACTTGTGTTTAAGTTCACATTTTGCCTCCTTGTAAGACAAAAGACAACAGCATTATACTCTAAAGGAATGAGGGACAACAAAGCAAATACTACAGCAGAGCATCACTACTAATTATGTCACATGACATAGTGAGGGGGCTACAGTCTATACACAGGTCTGGAGCAGAATGGAGAAGGACAGAGAAACACACTTACGTGATCTGACATATCCATTATACTTATATTTGGCTGAGGAGAATGCAAAGACAAGTGGCAGGTCACACAGAGGGAGAAACGATGTAATGAAACAGACACATTAGGAAACAGAGACATCAACATAAGAGCGGTGGATGGAGATTAAATCAAACGTAACTCTGAAGTACTACCATTGAAAGGCGTATGAGGGCATCAACCAAAAATAAAAGGTATAAATAATTTAAATAATGGCAAAACCCTAATGGTGGTGCTGATTAAAGTATGGCATGATGGCACAAAAAAGGCAGACAGGTGAATGAATGAACTGTCCATTCTCAAAAGTGAGCCATGCTTTTAGGAAAGTGTACTAAACCTGTAATGAGATGTAATGATGGTCTAATGGCAGATTTGATTAAATTTCACACAAGAGCTAAAATTGAGGTTACACAGTTTGAATGGTAGATTCAGCAGTCTAACTCATTAAAAATTCATTAAATGCTTAGAGTTTTTTTTTGCATTTTTATTCAAACATGATGGGCATTGTGAGGTCTGTAGACAGGACAAATAAAGCCACCATGAGAAACAAAGACAAAAATCATATCTGAGTGCATGTAGATATCCAAAACACAGACAACAGACACTCGCTACTCAAAACAGCAGCGCTTACACGGCACTAATGCAAAGAGACTTGATCTTCACATGCAGTCCAGATGTCTTGCACAAATAGAGATTTTAAAAATTGGGAATTTCCCAAACACAGGTTTAATGGTGCACTTTAAAGTCTCTGGAGCTGTTCTTTAAAAGGGTTGACCAAGGTCTCCACTTATGCCAGTGCTGTTAATTATCCAGGAATTTCAGTTTGTGACCTTGACCGAGGAGATTTTAAAGACTGGTACCACTATAACTACTAATGCAGTGGGCACTTGAACTGAGCTCTGAGCTGCTGACACTCGGCACTCTTTCCCAGAGTCTCTTCCAGCAGTAAAGGTCACAGTGAGGGCCCAGGGCTGGCCTATGACACAGATCCTCAAAAAGGGACCCACAGTGGCCCTGGCATCTGTCTCTAGCAATCTGCCCGCACCGCAGAGGCGGCAGACTAACTGGCTAGCATCTGGGGCGTAGCGAGGCGGCATAGGACAGAGGGTAGGGGGGGACCAGGCCTGCCTGGTGGACAGGAGCTGTCAGGGCAAGTTTGGTGACGGACCAGCGGGGCTGGGAAAATGAAAATGCAAACATAATTTCTGTGTCAGGATAGATAAGGTCCCCAGCAATGAGCTGCAGATTCACACACATGCATAGACACAGAGATAGAAGTGCATGTTGTTACGCACACAAGATGTGCGCATACACGCACACACAGCCCCGAAGGTTGTGGACTAGCCAAAAGCATCTCCCTCGCCCGAGGTCCCCAACCCTTGTCCATGCCCCTGCTCCATAAAAAGCCTCAGTCTCTCCATTATATAAACCACATTACAAACCCTTCACTGACTGAAGCGTTTCCAAAGTGATGATGGTCAGGTCACAAAGAAAGCCCATATGTAGCTGATTAACAGACCGAAAACAAACTTCTGAGTTAGTGAAAGAACTCAGCATAACTTCTGAGGTAATATGGTAAAAGTTAAATTGACAAGAATCAGTGTGCACAGCTACTCGCCTTTGCTCTCTCTGCACCTCTTTAGTTACACAAGTGTCCCCCTTTTACTCAGGATTATGTCTTATCTAACTTTCTCACATCTTTCCACTCCAGTCATTTAAACTGTCTACATTGCGAGATGGCTTTATGTCTAATCTGTAGTAACAGGCTGCAGTTATTTAGTAAGCTAATTAACTCACAGTTTGCTGTTTTTAAGGGTTTATCTATTTAATCAAATATCACATTAGTCGCATAAGTACTTGAATGAGTGTGTTAAAAAGGCTATTAATTAAATAGTGTGTCATTAAGGCCATAAGAGGTTTATGCTTATGCCACCATTAAATTGGTGTCTGCGTCACACTGTGTGGTCTAAATTTGACTTGCATTCATTAAAGGAAGGCGCCCGATCCAAGGAATCAATTACAAAGTACAAGAAAAATTCGGTTCAGATGTACAAGAGTATGAAGTCATCATGGATAAAGATGTCTTATCCTCTCAGTCTGGTGGAAAAAAGAGGAAATGGGGAGAGGAAATCCAACAATCCCTGACTGACAAAGCCCAATGCACTCCTTCTATAAACTCACTTTGTTCAGACAAAGTCAGAGTTAAAAAGGGAAAGAAATCTAAGACAGAGGAGGCTGTTCCTGAAATCCTACAGGGGGTTGAGGGAGAAGTGAGATCAGTAACCATGTAATGGCCAGTAATTGGTACCGAGGGATATCAGCGCAGGCCCAACTACAAGAGGCCAAGCCAAACTCATCATGGCATGTTTGACACTAATCTAGGCTGAGTCGGCAGACGGTGGGAGAATGTTGAGAAGGAAATCAGATCTGTATGTCTGAACCCAAGGCTTTGATAGCTAGGCCTACTGCTGCCATGTCTAATTGACAGACAATTTAGTATTTCCCATCCACTCAAAAGGAAACCAGAAAGAAGGGGATCTTCCAGGAGCCTCAGTCCTTCTACCTTTCCGTTGTCAAGCCAACATGGCTTTTTCGTTGTTCTCTCTCTTTTTTTTTCTCCTCCTCTTTGCTTTCCCCTCATCTATTTTCTTGCCCTCTTACCTGCTGAGCAAACCCTCTCTATTTTCTCCATCTTCCTGTTCCACCACCCTTCCCCTACTCTCTAAACTCGTCATAAACTATTAAGAATTGCAGGAAAGAGATATTAATAGTTTACCTGCCTGAACTGAGGTCACCAGTGAGAACACATATTAATACGTGTGCCCTGCTCCTCGTTTATAAGACTCGACATGACTGGTGTAAATCTTCAAAACAGTATTTCATGTGTGATTTTCTCTTATCTTCAGCATGAAAACAAAACTTTAGCGCAGTTGCTTGGTAAGTCAAAGGCAAAAGAAAATGTGAAACAAAGGAACTGAAAAGTGTACAAACTGAAAAGTGTTAACTCAGAGGTTCGTAAGGGTCTTCAAAGTAATATAAGACACAGTTTAACAAACGTAACCGTTAAATTGCAGAATAAAAACCTTTTGTACCTTTTTTTTTTTTTGCATTTGCATTTGCAGACATCTTACCTTATACAGTAAAAAAAAAAAAACACATCAAACACCACGCTCCAATAGTGACGTTATCACACAACTGCATGATTGATGCAGCATGCGGTAGCCACATGTCTAACACCTACAGTACTGTACAGCAGCACCACAGAGCCACACCATCACTTACCCACCACACACAGGACACTCAGAGAACACAAATGTCAAAATTATAAAAGACAATCGACCATAGATAGATAGATAGATAGATAGATAGACAGATAGATAGGTAGATAGATAGATAGATAAAAAAACAACAAATTAGTGAATAAACAAAAATCAAAAAGTAAATTCACGTAGTCTACACGACATATGGAGTCACAATAAACAGATCACACCACATGGACGGAATTACGGAAAACCCACGGACACGTAACAGTACCTCTGTTACAATACACGGAGCACACACCACAGACATGTAACAGCATGTGTTGGGCGGTGTAACTTACAGGCACGTAAAGTGGTTGCGCAATCATGAACAGAGACAGAGGAAAGTGGGTAGGCCCTCTGAAGGGTGTCCATGTTACTATGTACACTGCCTGACATGCAAGAGCAGTCTTGCTCTGAACGGCCGCAATCAAAACAACATGCCAGTTTCATTCGTTTGTAGACGGACATCTTGGCTACAGTCATGTTTTGGGATGAGAGGAGAGGAAAAGCAGCAGGTTAATGGCAAAAGGAGAAATATTCATCTAGGGGAAGTCGGAAGGTAACTTCATCAGAAAGTGCAAGCCTTAGCCACCTGCTCCCGCAGACTTGAGCCCCGCATTACACATTCCAAGATATATTTATAGATCCAATTACTTTTACCTTAACGAGTCGTCCGCCAAATTTCATTTTCATAATTTTCTCGTCTGAGAAAGTGTCACCAAATCGGACACATTATCAGTGTGTTAATATTAATAATGGCATTTAAAAATTGAACTATCATATGCCAGTGAGTTATTCCTCATTCATTGTTTGTGTCAAGAGGTCAAGCTGCGTGCTAAGGCAGTAACAGGTCAAAAGGCAAAATTATAACAGTGGGAAAGAGGGGTGAGGAGAAAGGGGAAAGGGAGGGAGGCATTCGGGAAAGAGAGGCATGAGCAATGTCTTCAGCAGCAAACCTCATACAATGTTTCATACATTTGTACATCCTCTATCCATTTCGGCTAAAGGAGTGGATCACGTACCTGTATCCCATCATGCAGCTGTAGCGGCTCTGTCCAAGGCATCGCACTATTCTACTGGCTAGACTGGGCGATTCATGCTATATTCAAACCAGCAAGTTTTCACTGCTCCACTCCCCAAGGGGACTTCACTCTAATGTGCATAAAGGGTGTGACTGGGATAAATAAGGTGTTACTCTACTGTATAGAAATATGCATAGATGTGCGCTAAAGTGTCAAGTATGTCTTTGTTCAAGTTAGATCATTTGAGGGAAGAAATAACGCACAAGTCCTATTACAATTCAATACACTGAGTGGTTTTGCTAATTTATTGGTTTAATATGACATTTAGCTTATTTCGACTAATGTTAGATTAAGTAGTAATGACTGAGTCAATGTGGTGATGACTGTTTACCATCATCATTTGCTTAATGCAGGTACTAGCATGTTTAAATACAGTGTGTTCATAGTTTTTGATCTCTATGCAGCTCAAGTTTATTACTGTATACCTCTATGTAAAGAATCCTGCATTGCCCCCACATAATATATAATTCCTAGCTGAAGCAGATTGGACATATTAAGGGAAATACATTTTAACATTTAATTAACTGTTTGTTTTTCACGTCTAACACACTACTGCTGTGTGAATTCAAAATCAATGCCCCGATGACTGTTTCATCAAAGTAACCCACTGATGTTTCTTTTAAATTATCGTCCTCATACAAAACTGGAAATGTGGGCATATAAAAATAGTATTACGCAACATCTTAACTATCAGTGTGGGCTAAAATACTATAAGCAGCAACTTTCTGTCTCCGTCTGTGTGTGTTTGTGCGTGTGAAGCCCTGAACCCTGAGGGAAGCAGGAGTGAAAGTCCCCAGAGTAGCATCCCTAGATTGCTGTGACTCTGGGCAGAAACAGTCCCTGGTCCCCATTCTCTCATTGCCAAGGTGCAAACAGACAGCAGGCTAATACCGTCTGGCACCTTTACAGAGACACTTTCAGCATCTTTGACTCCGACTCACATCGGAAAATAAGATATTGAATGAAGTAATGCTTTTTTTTAAAGCTTCTGGCCAACGAAAGAATGGGAAACGCAGATCGTAACCCATAGGATGAAGGCATCAGGGACTGTTGTATCCTGTGACATGCACATGTGCCTTATGAGCATGTGAAAAGCATGCAGATTTTTTTTTTGGTTCTGGTCTCAGCAACAAGGAGAGGTACAGAGATAACTGTTCACAGTAATGAAACAGTTTTGGAGGGCATGGCAGACAAGTGCAGTGAGGCATAAATCAGATCATGCTGAAATTTCTTAACTTCAGAGCTGTTGCTTGGGCACTCGGACCACAGTATGTATGTGTTACAGTGTAAATTTCTGACACGTGGAAGGGGAGCAATGGAAGACACAAGACACACACGCACACACTGACAATGTCTTTTACTTCTGACTTCACAAATACCCAGATTCTGGCCTAGGAATTATGAGGTGTCCGTTTCAGGGCATTCCCAATTGAAGATTCAACATGATGGCTACCCTGATAAACTGTCTGCATGGGTTTGATTAGTCACCAACCTCCTGGAATCCACCAAGGCACAGTTTTACTTAAACAGAAGCTATCAGGGTGCTATGTTGAATGAAGGATGTCCCAAAGAAAACACCATTCTGTTTATGGATCCTCCTAAAGCTTCCTTATTCAGCAAGAGTGCAAGGAAAATGATAGTGTTGGCTCAAGAGTTGGACTTTTGAGCGATATCTAAGACTGTGCCCAGTGGGGAGCCGCAAAAGACTGTTTTGTTTGAAAAGCCAGACGTTACGCACAAACACTTAGCCCTCACCAAACCCGCATGTAAACATAAAACATCAAGGACTACAAAATGACAAACAAATTCAAGATGATAAATCTATAAAACACTATATTAAGTTTCTGATTTAATGTATTATCCAGTTCACAGAAACACATCCATCTGGTCCTTGCATTTTTGCTGAACAGGTTTCAGGGGATTTGAGTTTCCTCTACAGACATCACCATTTACAGTGTTCTATTTGTTATTCCACAGGATTATGGCAGAGCACCACCATCTAGTGGCAACTGAATACTATGACAATTAATACTGTGTATTACCAGTGGATTTTTCACCCAGTGCAGTGAGTTAAACAAAAAAAGGGCCCAACGACTGTCCAGATTTGAAATGCACAAGACTGGTGCAGTGACATTTCAATTCTGAAAGGAACTGATGATCTCTGAAACCTCAGCCCGAGCTGGGCGAGGGCCCAGAGTTTAGAGAGGGGCTGAGATCACAGCGCAGTGGGGCAGGAGGGGAGACCAGATTGTTTTGATTGTGTTTTGGCAACCTCGCTCGTTAGGATTTGAAGAACTTCCCACAAGGACATTTTCTGCTCTCTGGAAAAAAAAAAAAAAAAAAAACAGCCGCACAAAACTTCCTTTGACAGAAAGCAGATCAATTTAAATCTCAGTAGTTCTTGTTAATTTTCTTCCCCTTGTGTTAGCGTTCGTAAATCTACGATTACTGTATCGCGTTTCAGATTTTTTTATTGTGTTCCTTCTGTACTTTCTCGGAACACGACACTTTAAAGAGGTTAATCACGGGTTACGACACAATGCTTGTAGCAGAATGACTTCGGAATGCCAAATGTGAATTTTGGTGATCAAATAGTGAGCAGAAACTGCACAGCTCAAAGGCCACATCCAATTAAGTAACACTTTATTGAATTGTCATTTCCAGCTAGTCAGAGCATCGGCTGACTGGGCCGTTTGAGGAGGACGCCTGATGCTTTTGTGAGTTTTTGATTTCTGCTGTTTTGGATTTGGTCTGGTCTGAGCACAGTGTAGAAATGAGAGGCGAGGAGAGGGATGCAGAAGCTACACTGGTACATGCAACATAGATACAATATACTATTTGCTGAAGTGGAAGGAAAAAAAAAAAAACACTTGCACTGCACTCTGGGTAATAGGACAACCCATTTTCTTTTTACTCACAATAAATCACTACCAGTGAGTAGTTAAAATAAAGTGGTGTTTTCCAATGGCAGCAGGGAAGGAAATACATCAAAAGTGTGTCACTGGTCATAAAGAAACATGGGAAAAAACAACAGAAGAGAACAAAACATGATAGAACAGAACATACAGTGTGACAGAATTCCATTGCAGTAATGGAACTGTCATCTTTCTAAATGCAACTCTCTTGTTTGCAACAGCTGTAATAAGATAAAACATAACGCCGTGTCCGTCACCGAGAGTCGGAGACATGAAGATATTGAGGAAGCAAACAGAAGTAAACAGTTTATCTAAATAAAACTTGAGTGTGAAAGGCCTGTTGATTCTATTGAGCTGGCAGAGCAAAGAATTGTCTGAATAATTGAAATGACACAGACAAAAGAAGAAACTGGAGGGGTATCTATTTTAAAACCAGGCTTTGTGTATAACAGGCTGTTTGCTGTATCTGCCTGTGACCCTTTTTTTTTTTCTGGAAATAAGGAATATTCACCTGAATTATTTATCCAGTGGCTAACACGTCCTGACAAGTGACTACTGTGCATAGGTCAGGTTACATTCATGTGCCATTCCTGCCTTAACGGCAATGTTACATGAAAGGGAGAGAATTATCACTTGACAAGGGCGTTAGTGTTGTAAAAAAAGTCTGAACAATTAACAGTTAGCAGCACATTATGTCTGTGACTGTTCACAACATGTGTGTAAAACCCATCAGAGCAGTGACTGAGCTCAATACTCTCATCAAGAGCATTTACATGTAAAAAAAGAACGTAACACAGTGGGACAGATGCAGTAATATTTCAAATACGACAGAGAAAAGATCATTGCCTCACACAGAAAAACATTCAGTGGTACAAATCTCAACATTCTGGTTCATACTGCACATGTATACTTTTACTTTTCATGCAAGAGAGACAGAATTTTTTATCTGTGCAGCTGTCAATTAATGCAATTTCAATGTTTTTTTAAGTTTAACTCCTTTAAATTCCAATCACTACTTTGTATTCTCAATTTGCATAGATAAAGTAGTGATTCAATGGTTAAGCTAAAACAAAAATAATACACTTAAAGATGACAACACCTACATTTTAACCAGGAAACAAAAATGCTTTGACTGATGGTTATACCGTCAATGGATGTTATGGAAGTTTCAATGGGACCCATATTAAAAAAAACACTTTCCTTAGAGTATAATGGTGTGACAACAGATATAATGGCGATAGAAAAAACATCAACAGTTCCACAGTACAGAACAACAATGACACAGTGAAAGGCATAATATTACTGTACAAGTATAAAGTGACAGTGAAAGACCCAGGGGTAGGTTTTTGGAATTAGAGGAAGGGAAGGAAGGAAGGGTGCCGGTGGGGCCACAATAAACTACTCACGTCTTTTGCAGCCACACTTCTTGATCCGTTTGGGGTCTGTGATGTCATCATGACAAGCTTTGCAGTAGAAAAATGCTCTAAAGGCGACACAGTAAAGACGTTCAGTGCTTAAAACTCACAAAATGCCCATTTGTACATGATTAGCGACAAGATTACCTCTTTACTTCTTTGGCATCACTAGCGATAAAGAATCCCAGTGTTCCCTCCTGCATCTTGACATGGTTGCCCGGGTTGATGAGGATGCTGGGTAATCAGAGACATACAGACACACAATGCTCATTAAAGTCCGCACAGCGCTCACTTCATGCACACAACATGCTAATCAAGAGGAATGGTACACACACTTGTTGAAGCCTTTAGAAGACCTGGTTTGCGATTATCTGTGTTTTTGCATAAAAGGTTTTTTTTTCCCTCTCTCTGTTGCGTTATCACTATGTGTCACTTATCGTAAGCACACCTGCTTTTTTGTGGGCAATTTGCTGATGTGATACTCACATGAATGGACAAAATGTACAACAATATGATCGCACATTGAATTTTAATTCTTTTCTTTACAGAATGGTGTTGGATTGCCCTGGGGTGAGAAGAGGGGACAGAGAGGCAACAAGTAAAAAGGGACACGGGCAGAAAGAATTAAAATTATGGCCATGGAGTGGTTTTTAGTCTCAGCATTCAAATACACTCATCTAGTCGAAACAAATGTTATGATGCCCACTGAGACATGGCTGCAGTACAGAGAATGTACAGTAAGTGTTGTTATCTCGGTTAGTAGTCGACAGTGAGATGCAAGGGAATGAACAGCTCTTTTCTCTTGTCAATACTAGACTGGTGTCCAGTAGAGACTCTACTGTAGTCTATGGGACTGCTCTGGGTTGAAATTTAAAAAGTGGAATAAGTCCCCTGAGAAGCAGAAGTAACTTTGCTGCATTAATAATAATTACAATATATGTTTAGCAAGATTAATATTTAGTTAATTTGGGATTTTTTAAAAACTACCTTTCTATCTAAATACACAGTTATATTAATAAAAACATATTACAGCATTACAGGATGTATTACTCACACTGAGTGGGACTCAATTTATTACCCTAAGCACTTGAAGTGATTGGCTGTATCATTCCCCATTAATTAGACTAAGACAAAGAGGAGACACCACACACATATTCTATGTGCACACACACACGCACACACACACACACACACCCTGGTCATTAATGGTTACCTGTGGGCAACAATCATCAATGATGTGAGTGTGAACTAAGATATCAAAACACCGAACCCACAAACCTTAAAAAGGATTACACTCCTTCAACATAAAAGCCCAGATGAAAGATGATTTCCATTATTTTCGTCTCATTTAGTCCTTCTATTTTAAGTTAAAACTTTTGCAAACTTTTGACAATAATTAATAAGAAAAACTACTGCCAGTGCTGCTACTGGACAATGTCTTTTTAATGGCCTTGATTCAAATCTATGTATTTTAAATAGCTGTGGCATTTTAGTAATGGATTATTAAAGACTGTTATTCATCTAGACTCAGAGCAGAAGTGAAGCAGCGTCTAAGAAAACATCTACATCTTTCCTCTGAGCTCTGGAAAAAGGTTACATTGGAGAAAATAAACAAAAAAAAAATTATTAAGGGAGCAATTGAATCCATATTGGGATGTGATCAAATCGCACCACTCATGCAGATCAGATTTTTCTTTCCGCACTGTACGAAGTAAAATAGCATCAAAACATTCACTCAGATTGAATGGCCCCCAGAGAAGTAAACAGGCATTACACCTGGCATGCTCTATAGTGAAAACAAAAATAAAAAAAACAAGAAAGAAACCAATCAAATCAAGACAGTTCCACAAACATTGCTGCCCAAATCTGAGATTTTTACAGGTGTGTCTATCCAAGACATTTTTTTCTTCAGTCGGGTGCAAACTGGCGAATAGAAGCTTTAAAAAAAGAAAAAGCATCAAAACCTCATATTGTGAGCAACAAGGCAAGCATCACACACCTTATGTGATGGTGTCATAGCATGCAGTTACCAAACAGCATGAAGAGGACAGTAATCAAACAGAAAGGCATAGCCACTGCAGTACAGGTATAGGGACAGGTACGTAGATGCAGACGGTTGCAGTAACTTCTGTGCAGTTGGATTGTTTCTCAAACACCAAACTGACAGGAAGTGACCTCACTTAAGAACATCTACTCGAGAGACGCACGAGCATGACTGTACACGGTGCCTGGAGACGCACAGAAATGCACACGCACACGCAGACACACACACACATCCGCGCACAAACTCTCCTTCTCGAGGTAATCACACGTACGCAGACGCACCGACATGCACAGATGGGTATACATGTAGAATATGAGAGGGTGATGGAATGCAAAAGTGAAATGTGGGACACGTAAATTTAACTGTGGTTTTTGGATAAACCTAATGCTATCCAAATTCAACTGCTCCATGCCTTTCCTAGTGTGTGAAATGAACAAAAAGAATAAATAAATAAAAGATTGGTGTGGTGCTGGTGGTGTAATAAAACACTGAAAAAGTAAAGACATGCTGTTGTATCAGCCACTGCCGATAGCAATGGCAGATAATCAATTTGTTTCAAGATCAAATCCAGTATGTAGAACAACAGATTATCAGTGCTCAACGACACCACATCTGATGTTTAACATGTATGTAAAACAACCTCCTCACTGATTCTGAGGGAGAGAACCACAAAGCGCTGCTCTGGCAATGATTTCAAAACACCAATGAGTGGAATACTTAGTTTGTCAAAGCTAACATACAGTAAAGTAACGGCTGAGCAACACTGGAAAAACAACTGAAAGTGAGAGAAATCAACTAAGCAAAGGATTTGGTTCAGGACAAAACTGAAAAAGATCAAATAAGAGGTAGATATGGAAGAGGGTGAGTGTTTGGCCTTGGTACACCGACAACAGCAAAGACAAGGAAACAGCACTTCTACAAACATGTCCAATTTATCTATCCTCTCTTTGCCTGCAAAGAAGTTAGTGCATTAAGCACAAGGGACACCATAAAAAAAGGAGTTCGAAAAAGAGGCCTGTGAGATAGTGTTTGGAAAAATATCCTTGGGGAAACTCCCAAAGTCAGAAGCTTTAAACTGGTGGAGATTGGGTGGAACTTTGGAAGTAAGATAAGGTAGAGGGCATACCGCTTTCGGCTTCTGCAAACAACAAGAAAAAATCTCAAATCAAACAGTTATCATGAACATAAAAGAAGAGGAGAATATAAGTGTTGCTAATGTTTCTCTATTTACTAGCTATGGCCTTATACGTGACGCAGATATAGAATTCATACAGTTCCTGCTTGTCCAATGCTGAGGTCCCTGCACCTAAAAACTATTCTTTAAGACTACTGCAAAAAAAAGCTTTTGTAAGAGTGGTTATCCTTTGACGAGTGCTTAAATGGCACAGAATAAAGTATAAGTGAAACGAGGACCACCAAGTAATACGAATTCATTTACACGGAATTACTGTTAACTCGCCTTTCAGCTATTAACATTAAAAAGTCCAAATACATAATTTTCTATGCAATCTTGTCAGTACACAGAAAAAAAACATTAGACACAGGTGAATGGGAGAGGGTGGGTGGGATTTGGCAATTGAGATTACTGTAAGAAAAACAGTACTTCCTGTTGTTATTGGCGATAGAAGCAACACTGATGTAGAGTTAGTGGTAATCATACAGAGTCGACAGGGACACAGTAGAATCGAAAAGTTGAGGAAACACATGACATGGAAATCGAATGTGCAGCAAATTGGTTGTTTAGGTGTGAAGGAACGGTTTCTCTGGACTGACAAAAAAAAGAGCTGTGACGTTTCGGCAAATACATTTATATCTGCGAGGTTTGCAAAAAAGCATCTGAACTGAGAATGTACACTGACCTCTGCTAAGGACATACAGTGTTATCAGTCCCATTTATTTGTTTGCCAAATATCTCATACAGCATAGAATTGATTTGGTTTCTGCTCATTTTTCATGTAATACTGCACATTAATAAAAAAAAGTTCTGGCCTACTCAAATGGAAATTAAACATTGTGACCGTGCAGCCTTGGCAGAGGTATGTGACTCTCTGAGTGTTCTCTAGTTGTGTATAGTCAGCCTTTGTGCCACCAACTCATATTGTAACACATATTGGCATGCTATCGCTCGAATGTTCACAAAACATCAACAAACGTGACATGAATATTATCTGTGATCAGAGCTGCAAAGAGGACTTGAGGAGAAAATGTAAGATATTTCATTAGAAGATTTAAAAGATCCACTTGAAGCAAATCAGACAGTGGTTACCAAAAGCTGTACCTGATGTTACGGGAGGAAAGATCCGCTTTACAAACCTGCTCTCTCTCTGCTCAGACTTGTATTCAATGGCAATAAGCAACAGCTTCAGCTTCACGTAACACAGCCTGTAAAACAAGTGCAGTCATTAGAGAAGAGCAGTGCACTGATGTGTTTAAACAGCTTTGAAATTTCGCATCCCCACAGTCCACTTTTTCTTAACGTCTTTCTTTCTTCACTTCAGTATTCTGAGCTACCTACCATTGACAGTGTGCTTGCTGAGTGGGGGGGGAAGAGTGATACTTACTCGCAGACAGTGGGGAAGGAGAGGCCTACAAAGGCACTGGACAAATACTCTGTGTACATCTCATTAGCCACTCCTTCAAGGTAATACTTCTGCCATGTGTCCTCCTCAATCTGACAGAAAAACAAGCACGGAAATGTCACATGTGAGGATTAAAAAAAAAAGAAAAAAAAAGGAGGGGAAAAGAAAAAGCAACACTGTTTTCTTTCCAATAGCGGACCAATGTGGTCTGCAGATGTTCCACTGCACAACATCAGCCCGGTCATTATAAGCTGATCCATCATCTTTATGACATGAGAACAGTTCTTTGATAGAGGCAAGCACCTCTTCAATTCTGAGCCACAGAAACACTGAACAGATTCCACATGAAATGTCACAATAAAATATGATGTGCCAGAATGACTGAAAACACACTAATGGAAGTCTTTCTCTGGACAAAGATGTCAAAATTTCCCAGGGAATGCACTCTTTGATAGATCTAGTCCATCTGTCAGCAGAAAACGTACTGCATCCACTTATGTTAACCTCAAATCCAGTCCCTGCATAAATCATCCCATGTATTAAAATGCAATGTGAGAATTCATTCATCCATATTACTTCAGTCTGTTCAGATGGACAGACGGGGCGAGTTAATCCCGTCCTCTGTGTTACCTCAATGAAGGACCTCATGGAGAAGAGGTTGGCTAGCATGGTCGACAGGCCCTGGGCCAGACAACTCTGGGCAATGAAGCCTGCCTTCAGCTCCGCCAGACAGATAGCATCGTCACCTTCCTTCCAGTTCCAGCTTGGAATGTTCAGCAGATGGGCCTTCATCGCATGATAGACGGTAGATAGAGGTCACAAAGCACAGAAAAAACACGCAAATGAGTCATGTTTCTTAAAGGTACAGTTCAACATTTTAGGAAAACCTTTAAGAGTTTAGGAAGTATGTGAGCAGTGGACCCACCAAGAGGTCGACACATGTTGCTACGAATTACCCGACGATAAAACCAACCACTTAAATACCCCACACAGCTCCCAAGTAGACAAGTTTATGAGTTAATCACTGTCACAATCGTTCTGCATCGTGAAGATTAGCAGCAAAGACGAGGTGATGCTACCTTATACACCACAGCGCACCAGGACATCTTACCTTGTTGTGATATTGTAGCATCTGTGTGATTATTCTGATCTTGGGGTGGTAGTTCTTGATGGAAATGACCCTTAAAAAGACAAGCAGACACAATGAATGAGGAAATGCAACTCTCATCTAGCCACCGATTTTAAAAGTCCAGCGGATGCAGTACCTCATGATGTTTGAGGCGTCTTCTGCATCAGGATCTGCACAGTATTTGTTGGCAAGGATTAGGCAGGCATCTGCTGACTCGATCTGTGTGTGAAGAACCAAAGAAAGAAATGTGTTAACATTCGTGTGCATGTTAGGATTTAGTAGCGCACACACTGAGTGCTTCAAACAAATTAGTCGGTTAACTCTGGCCGAGACAATACAGTCTGTCATTCCTCTCTTTTGTCTCTATCTTTTGGTTTAAAATGGTTGTCCAGATTATGTCATGTTGTACGATTTTCCTCTGCTCACTTCTACCATCAAAAATTATTTTTATAAACAGTACACCCTGAAACTTGCTGATTTACTAAACTAAATTTTATTCTTAATCCATTTTAATATACTCAGTTCAACAACCACTGTCTACATCTCTTCAAGACTCTTGTCACCAGTGGTACCTTCACTCGCGCCAGATCGTGAGGGTTGAGAACAGATCCCTGGTAGAACTCTACTTGGGTAAAATGACGTTTGAACAAGGCTTCCAGCTCAAGATTAGGGGAAATACTAGCACACAGAGAAAAGAGGACAAGCGTTAGCTCATATATGGATACCTCATATACAGTATGTTGTTCAGCGCTAACCTACATGTGGAGAGAAAGAAAAAAAAACACATCACTTACTTATGGAGAAAAACAATTTCTACATTGACATCATCCCTGTCCTTGTGTAGGAAGTCTTTGAGGAAGTTGGAGACACTTTCGAGGGTAATATGACCACAGACCACAATATGCCTGGAAGGGGGGAAGAAATCATCTTGAGTGGGCAACATAAATCACTGCAGACACTGGCATGTCTCCCAAAGATAATCAGTCAAACCAAAGCACTGTAACATCTAACTCAAATATAGACTGAAAAAAAAATCTATATACATGTCAAGAAATGTCTTTTCAAAGCAAACAAGTAACTGAATTATATCTTTTTTGCCATAAAAGTGAATATTTTCCCCCATGTAATGAAAGTGGTTAAATTCTGCACGACAAGTGCAATCAAACACTCAACTTTGAACCACTTTAGAAAATCTAAGATATAATCATACAGCCCACAGTGGTTGGATTGTCATCCGTTCTCAATATAAAAATTGTCCCTTCGGCCAAACCACCCCTTTGTGAGCTGAATGGATGTTGACAAAGACATGTACATCAATATGCTCATGCTTTTATTCAGAACATTACTAAAACTCTCAAAGTGATTTGGAGGCCTGTGGTTGACAAAAATTCTAAACAGGACCTCAGAGTATTTGACAGGTCCCTGGCAGGATTCAGTAGTGCATTACAGCACGGGGATCTGTCAGGCGCTGCACGGGGCTGATTACAGCCGTAAGGAAGTAAGAGGTTCGTTTGGAACCGTTTTGGACAGAGGTTGCGTCCCTGTTTGTCCTCTGACTGCCCTGTAGAGGGATCAAGTTCAAAGGTCAGCTTCATATTTATGATTGAGGCGAGGCTCACTTTGGGCAGTTTGGAGGGTCACTGTCTGTAAAACTTGTGGTGCTTCTGTAATCGTCATATTTTTGTGTCCCAGATCTGAGTTACAATTTCAATTCCTGCATCATGTATCGGTTTTTGTTTGCGAAAGTTTTCTGTTTATTTGATATGTTTTCAGCAAGTATCATCATTCAGTAGTTATGATTTAATATAACCCCACAAATGTGGATTCAAGACACTTTGTTAGTTTAATTTGCACTGTGGTAAGTTGAGCTACCCTGCCGGAATTAAAGTTAAATGTCACATCTGAAGTCTTTTTGCCAAACCTTGCTCAGTAGAATCCAGGCCGTATATTGACATGGATTAGTGTGGACACTCAGCAGACACCCTAATTACCCTATGGAGACCTGTAAGGCAATCTGTGTAATGACAATGGCCTTATCCACTACTTGATGTGCCAGGAGACAATTGAACCACTTTAGTTTTGAGTGTCTGGGTACTAGACAGCTTTGCACTTAACACTATGGATTAAGTTACTTTTTCCTAAATAAAAAAATACCGTAGTCAGATTAGTTCACCGTGTAAGTTCTTATCATCCAGCTAGATTTGTTATGACAAGTTTCCTTCAATGCACTACCGTGCTCTCATACACAAGAAGGAAGCTCTGGCAAACACATTAACCTTTAAAAGTTGATGCCTAAAATTGTATAGAACATTAGTGAAATCTGACTCAGTTTGGCAGGTTTAAAGGAAACAGAGATATTTATTGATGTTAGATGAGAACCATAGTCCAGATCACTGAGTTTTCTCCTACCCTGCACCAGATGGACCGGGTAGGGCTGAACTGAAGTGGACTTGGCAAAGTAATGTGACAGACATATTGAGGGAGTGACAGTTTGTAGATGTTGCAGGATATAATGGTCTTCGCAGATGTTGCCTCTGTCCTTTAAGAGAATCTAATGAGCAGCCGTGATTGCATGGTTGGCCAGAACTGAGCGAAGGGCCGTGTGGTCTTACAAGCTGATGAGCTGGGATGTCTGTGGGCAGCCAGCAGTATTTGGCACAAAATGTCTCTCATTTCACGAGATGTTAAAAAAAAAAATTTCAAAAAAATCTGTCATGTTTTCCTATTCTGAGTATCCAGATGCCCCTCTCCAAGGGTAAATGGAATATACAGATTTATAGGGCGTATTATTTGGTTTGAGCGAGTTCAACATTAGGCTATGAATGTCAAACACTGCAACACAAACCCCAAGGTGTATATGCATGTGCACTGCATGTACAATAAACATGTGCGCACACATTGTCGCACAGGAGTGTGTGGTGCCGACTTTCTCTGAGCAAGTTTTATCAGCAAAAGCAAAGCAAAGCTCCCTTCCGCTTGGATTAAACTACATTTCTTCCACTAATCAGGCCACAAATTTGAGTCCCCCTATTAAAGACGGAAATATTCACTTGATAGACATCATTAAAAGTGTGCTGTCTCCACTGAGTTTTCCCCTTTCTGTGTGCCAACAGTGGCATCGAATTCAATACTGACATCATTAAAATCATTTTAATCATTAACTAGGATATGGAAACGGATATCACTGATAATTCAACCATTCATAATTGCTTCAAGAACAAAATACCTCCCCTCTGGTTAACCTGATTTGTACAGCACAGCTTAAACTAGATCGGTATAACAACAAAAACAAAAAAAATCAAATGAAACAATAACAAAAAAAAACTTCAAGGGCATAGATTTTTAACAAGAAACCCATACACGACAACCCAGAAAGTCAAAAAAAAAAAAAAAGAAAAGTGTGGCACAAAGTCACAATAAATGCAAAGGGGTATACAGAGCGTGCACAGGAAACATGCAGTCAGGAGACATCCCAGGATGTCATTGGGGATGCACTGAATACAAAATGAACAAACAGAGAGCTCAAACATCAGCAACAGAGGTCACTCACTTGATACTGCTCTTATCCTTAGGTCACTGATAAAACTCACAGCAGGAATCATTACAGTGTTGCGATTTGAGGGGCTTTGTTCTCATTTTGTTGCCGCATCATCTTTCAGGGAACCTTTACAGCATTACATTGCATCTCTTGTAATTAATGTCAAAAAATCAATCATGGCATGTGTAGCCACTGCAAGTTAAATTTAGCTTATATGTGTGCTAAGCTCAACCAGGTGTGTTCATTCCTGACCATGTGGGAGTCTCTGGGTCTGCGCGCCTCCAGTCGCTAGCCCTCATAGAGGACTTTCAAAGGTGTATGTCAGAGTTCAGCCAGGGTTGAAGTCAATCTCCATGCCAACCCCTCTGTTGAGGTTGGGGCTAATGGAAACCATGGAGTCATAATGGAAACCACAGAGCCCCGAGTGCAGCGGGCGCCAACTGAACGCAACACTTGTCATTATTATATCAGCACACGCAGGCTGAGAGCTGTCACTGCGCTCACGGGTGTACGCTACACTGCACAGAGCACTATAAGCAACACCAGCATGAAACAGAAATCCAGTATGGATCCAATGCGAGTCCGTCTCACTTCCAAATAACCCTGAAGGCCTGTTTCAAATGACAGCAGCCGGGCTTACGGATGAAAAAAAAGAGGGTTGCATTTAAAATAGTTCGCAAAGTCACATGACCTCATTGTTTGTGAGCTCTGTAATCAGTCGGATACTTGTAATCTCCTAATCTCATTTCCATTATAGATTTTTTTGTGTGTGTCTGTGTGCTGACAGCTGCTAAATGATAATGCACTGAGGCCCAATGACAATCCTAAACCCACATGACAAACCAGTTTTAAATAAGTGTCCGCTGCTACACATACATGTATAAATGATTATGCAAAAGTCTGGTGCCGCTCAGAGCCTGTGTGTTCGGTGGGTATCTTCTGATTGTTGCCATATGTTTGCACGGTACGTCTAAACAGAGAGCGAGAGAGATGGAAGGGGGTGTGGACGTCGAAAATAAAGTGTGTGGGAGAAACTATTCCCGGTTTTGACAAGGGCTTCTCTCAGCACCCATCTGTAAATCTGGGCTGAGGTCACCGGCCAAACATAACATTTCATCAATCTTATCTCAATGACAGGCAAACATTATTGAACAAAGGCTTTTTTTTCTCCTAACGTCTCGTTCTACTTGCTGACTCCCTAGAATCAGACCCGCTGAAAAGAATGACCGAAACCGATGGGAGTACGATTAGAAAAGAGAAACAGGGTGAGAAAGAGGAGACAGCATAGTAGGAGATCCTGGTAGAGAATGAGAAGAAAAGAGTAGAGCGGGGAAAAAAGAGAAGACTACACTCCCTGTTCTTGACACACCACATTTGGATTCAGATAAATCTGTGTGCTGAATATCAGTAAGGTTTGAGCCACGAGGGGAGGAGAAGAGTACCGCACAATAAGCACTGTGGTATTCTTGTACAAACAGTAAAATGACCACAGTGTCACACATACTGTACTTCACAGTGCACTGGAGCCTCTGCTGCGAGAGGCCAATCACACATATACATAAATACAGGAGCCTCTGGAGACAAACTCCACCACCACCACCACACAGACACAAGAACCAAGGCGAGCACCGAGAACCAAGCAGGCAAAGCAAGCCAAAAGCAATTGAGAGCCTCCAAATGGGAGCGAGGCATCCAGCATTCAGGGTGTGGGAGCTGACTGAAGATCAGGGCCAGAATAATGTCAAGCATTGATGATGCGATGTGCTAGCGGTGACAGACAACAGACGGATGGCTTTTTCATCGGGGGGTTAGCAATCAATGAAAAAGCCACAAGACTGCAGGTCATTAGAGAGCATGCCATATATGATGCAGTTCAAGAAAACGAATTCCATAAAACATGCGATAAATAAATAAATAAACGTAGCAAAAAACAAACAAAACAAAAAAAAAACAAGAAAAGAAATTGTATCCTGCAATGGTCATTGAGATTGATGATGCTTTAAAAGACCACCAATAATAATGCACTTGCAGACGTTTCAATCTTTCTATTTTCTTGTGGGAAAATCCTTTAAAAGCGGATAGTAGGGGTTTCATGACTATTTTTGTTTCATTTTGATGGATTGTGATCCTTATTCATCCCTACAGGCAATGCTGTATTAATGAGACACATTGGGCACAGGTATATATTGCGTAGAAGCACCACAGGTTAGCATGTTGTAAATCTCATGTGTAGTAGTCATGAAAGCTCTATTTTCCAAATTAAATTAAAGCGCAACACAGGATGTTTCAAGGAGGACAAAGAAAATGAACGGCACACAAATGACTTTAGGAAAGCTCTGAGTAAAAGGACAGAAAGAGGCAGAACTAGAAAGTCAGAGAAAGAAGACAGACAAGAGCCAGAAAAGAGTGAAAGAGAGAGTATAGGGGCATGGACAGGTGTGTCCTAATGGCCAAGGTCTCCAGTCACGCAGTGTGACGTAACATGACCTAACTTTACTTTAGCTGTACTTATTGTTCTATAAAGTCAAGTTAGCTAACCCCCAGCAGCTAGAAACTTCAGGGGGGCACACTTGAGTCACACAACCACACCTTGTCTGGATTTCAACTTACTTTCTGCCTCGTGTCGAGTTATAACTCCCTCCGTATTTCTTCCGATTAAGGATGAGAGCAGCAATTTCTGGCACGTAGCGAGCAAACATGGCCTACATGCATGGAACAGAAAAAAAGAAAAAGGCATGCAGAGAGGGTTCTACCGCACACAGAAAAACAGCAGAACCATCTGGAATACTTACTTTCTCCCATTAACCGCACTATAGGAACCACCATATTTCTTGCGGTTTCCTATTAACTCTATGATTTCAGGGACGTAGCTGGCAAACATGGCCTAAGGAGAAGATAGAAGACAGAAGAAGAGACTAAAAAAGAGACTACTACGCCGCAGAGTGGGTTGTGGGGAAACTGGTGCACGAATCCAGATTTCTGAGAGGAGAAAAATATTATTTTGCTAAAGAAATCAAGTTTAAAAATCCCCCTCGTTGTCTGTATAGACTTTCTAAAGTACTAAAAATGAGAGAGATCTTCATAAAAAAAAAAAAAAAAATCTTGTTTTTGTTATTGAGAAAAAGTAGCCCCAAGTTGTTTAAAGGTAAATGTTTGGTCAGTGGGCCAGAATTTTGTCACAGCTGACGGATAGCCAGTCTGTGATAGCACCCAAAACCTTTCTGGATAGCTGAGGGGAGAATAAAAACCTATGTGCCATGTTTTGTCCAACAAACACAGATGATCTGGCAGGTTGATTTGAATAGGCTCACCTGATGGTCCACAGCTGCAAAACACATTAAGACTCATTTGTTGGGCTAGAAAATGAGCTGGATGCATTTTGCAAAGTTTCACAGCCTGTTATCCTAGCACAGCACAACTTGGATTGACATTACTCACCTAGACTTACACCTACGAAAAGACACACAGAGGTGCCCTTGCCCTTGTAAATACATACTTAAATCATACTTGGAAAATTCACCTATACGTTATGAGGAATAATGTGACATTATGTGAGTTTGACATGATCCCTGGCTTTAAAATACCTCCAGCCTGGAGTCATTATTTAGCCACTGCTGCTGATAGAAAGCAGGCTAATGCTCTAGCCTAAAGACTTCCAGAGCTCTCAGCGCTGAGGAAAAACACGCAATCTATCACCATGGCCACAATACGGCACACATCCAAACAGCTGTAGGTCATCAGCGCATACTGATAGCCGTCCAAGTACAGAATACAGTAACTGCGATTTGGCTAAATCCTGGATTCTTTGTGTAAGTGAAGACAGAGACGGCACGGTCATAAGTACGTGTGTGCGTCTGAGTGCTTACAGGTGCGTTCACCCATGCATGCTCGTGCGCAAGTTACTCTACGAGCGGCAGCCCAACAGGACGCTAGATCACAGCAAGGTGAGAGGGAGGGAGGGAGGGAGCGGGAGGCTGCTGTTGCTATGGTAACAGTCAGGCTGGCCTAAACCTCATCTCCCTGCCCCTGTGTTTGTTGGAATTGTGGGAAGAGACACGGAAGGAGGGGTGTCCTGAAACCGCAACTGCTTTTAAGAGAACAATAACAACATTATCAGACAAGAGCTTATACTCTAATCAAACAAATACAGGAAGGACACATCGGGGGGGGAGGAGGGGACAAAGGAGCACATAGAACTGTAATTACAGTAGACAAGATACAGTAGGCTAAACAGAAGGATACAACTACACTGTGACGAAGAAATAACATGTACTGGTACAGGCGACTCTATCAATTTAAAAAACACATCATGTATCATATCATACTATACACATAACTCTAAGCATTTACGTTATTTTTTAACTTTGCTATCATTTCCAACAGTTTTATACATTCTATTGATGGGGACAGGCAGGATGTAAGAGGGGACAAAAGGGGAAGTAAGGGAGAAAGAAAAGCGTGATTTTACCAAACCACCAAGGATGAAGAAGACCATAAACAGGCGCCCCAAGGTGGTTTTTGCATAGACATCCCCGTAGCCGACCGTAGACATAGTCACCATCAGCAAGTAGACACATTCCCAATAGGATAGTGACTGGGAATTTTGGAAGTTTTCCCAAGGATCCCCTGAGTTTTCCACCTAAAAGGAAGATGGGAGAGACAGGAAACGATGATTAGAGACAACTCTCGCCACCAATTTGTAAACAGGGGTTTTGCAAAAAGAAACAATTTCCTCAAATTTGATTAAATCCAGCTACAGGTACTCATGCATGCATCTTTGTCTGAGTCATACGTCCTTCACATAGTGAGCTTTGACTACCATCTAGTGGTGAAACTTTTAAATGCTTGATGTGTTGAGCAAAGCTACAAACAGGCAGTTTAAATTATAAGCACTTTTTTTAAAAAATGACAGAAACAAATGCATTTTAACTGGACAATTTGACTGTATTTAATGGCGGCAAACCTGAAATAAATAGATAATACCTCATTTAAGTGTCTGACATCCAAGCTCACCAAGAAATCCACCTTGTGTTTTACATTACTAACTAGATCCCTTTCTGATCAGCTTTGATTTAATTTCCTTTTCCGATTTAATTTACACATTGTATAAACATGAGATCTGTATCTGCGTAGGAAAATCACATGTTAACACAAGATGTAAATGATCTGAGCTAGGTGTACATGCACATCATATACTGTGACCATGCTATAAAAGAAAAAAAAAAAGTCAGTCCCAGAAGCTGAAAGGTATCTCAAGTGAGCCCAACGATACTGTAGCTACAAGTACTAGTAGTAATGCGAGCTCAGCAATGGAAAAAAACAAGCCCATAGAGCAGCACTGCTTCCCTTGACCTGGGACATGACGGGGTTTGTTCACATGTCAGCCAGACACGGCGAACTAATCGGTATATCAAGTTTGGATCAAATAGAGCAACCTGATAGCTGTCGGGGCGCATCACATGGGCACAAATGTCACCAGTTTGCTGCATGTTATTCCCCTACAATCTCACCCCATATTTTCTCTCTGTCTCTGTTCACTGTCGCTGTTCAGTAAAATTGTAAAATGTCCCAAAAAATTATCACTAAAAACAGAGAGCCATTGGATCAAATTGCATTTTAATGCCACATGTAAATGCAAAGACCCATGAGCCGGACATCTAAATAATGTATCCAGATACAGATCACATGAGAAAATTAGTAAACGCAAACCTGAATTGATTCATGTACACAAAATCTGGTGGTTCCTTTCAGCAGTTATAATTTCCCACCTTGTTTTTACTACTGCATATTTGGGATTTCAGTATCAGTACTAATACTAACCTTATTGAGCAGATTAGCTATAATATAACTGATGTTAAATAAAGTTTTTGTGTCAAAGCCTCTAGAAAATTCTGATTTTAAATTTAATGAAACACTAGTATTGAAGTAGTGTTTGGTATTGGCAAATACTATCAGTTGAAAAGGTACTACTGAGAGAGAAAAATTTAATCTGTGCATCCAAGCTTTGGTAAATGTGAAACATCCTTCCTTACAATCTTGCTATAATTACTCAGTTCTTGGACATAGTAGTACCAGAGGACGATTACGCTCTGTGATGTTGTAATATATCCATCAGTTAGTCAGCGATGGTACCTTCCTCTCTGGCTCAGTAATCACTGGAACCCACATGCCCTCACATCTGTGCACTTACCAAATGTATGAATCCAGCCGCTGTGAGCCATGTGCTTATGAAGATGGAACACAGGTTCACCAGCTTGATGGAATTGCTGGTAGAAGTAGAAGCATCATGAAAAGTCATGAAAGTTAAAACAGGGCCCACCCTGACCTGACTTACAATAACCTTAACAGCCAGGATGGTTGAAAAAAGACTTGAAAAGACTGAGGGCATTTAAATTAGCAAGAAATGACATAAAATTAAAATAAAATAAAAAATTTAAGCCCAATGATACACAGAGAGGCTTACTAATCATTTCTATCATGTCTTAAAACTGTACACGTATATATGTGTAGCGTTATGTTTCCATACAGTGTGAATGTTTTGTTTTATGTCACAACAACAACTCTATTATATGTCATAAAATGTGCTATAGACATGACGTTTAACATACATTTAGGTGATAACTACCACTTGTATTCTGGAATTGTCACATGATATACAGAACTTTTCAGAGTGCAGTTGAGCCACATTGTTACACGCAGCAACTGAGGTGGTAATAACAACGAAGATGTCTGTGAACAAATTGCAGTAAAATGTATTCTTACCTTGTTTTCAAGATATTCAAGAATTGTAAAATTTCTGAGAACTGTATCAATCTTAGCGCTCTCAGGAATCTTAAACCTGTGTGAGACAGAAGACACAGAGAGAAAGAAAGATGGATTAGTAAAGTACAGTGGTAGAAAACAAATATTAGAGCAGCGCCTATGGAGAAACTAAATGTTGACCGCACGTACACTTTGTGCTAGATGGAGAATCATTTGTGCAGCCATCCTAAGGATTATACAACTATACGACAATACCTCATTGTCTTTTTACACCACATTTTTGATCCCATGGAAGACGTTTGTGCTCCTGTGTGTGACACTACTAATGCTATTTCTACAATCTACCGGCAAACATAAGAAAGTGGCCATATACTTCTCACAAAATGTATAATGACTTCAGGATCAGGTCATTCTAATCGCTAAACAATGTGTGTACAGCTCCACATAATTAATGTAAGCAAACTGAAACTAATGTTCTCACCCCAGTTGGAGAGGACATGTAAACAGGACCAAGCTGAGTGGTAAAGCCCAGTCTGCCTCTGCTTTTCCTCCTGTCCATGATGACCCTGCCTCACCCTGTAACCATTCTGAAAAAGATCGCCACAGGACTTCTTTCGCCTCCTCGTCTCTTGGAGAGAGTCCAAATTGAAATCGCTTTGTGCGCGACGGTACACAAGCAGCTTGGGAGGAATCATTGTTCTAGACTAAATCCTGTCCGAGGAATTCCTCTCTGGTCAAGATGGGGGGAATTAAAATTCTGTAATCCAAAAATATGTAGAGTCTCGTGTTCCAAAATTCAGGGATAATTCCTAGCAAAATGTCAAAGCGAGTAAGAATCTTCTTTTTTTAATCCTTGATACGAACATTCCTCATAAAGCAAACACCTCCAAACACCACCGATTCAACGGTCACGGCTGCAGACACAGGAGCGCTAAAACAAACAATTGTGCAGCTTTTCATGTCAGAGAGTGTCTCTGTGAGCGAAATGTAAGCTCTAATACGGGTGTTTTTTATCTCATTTTTGTTACAGTGCCTTTAATCCCCACAACCCAAACAGATTTACCTTTCTCCTGCCCCTTTTTTTAGTGCTTTACTGTTAACCCTTAGCAAAGCTTTGTCGCCATCAGCAAACGGCCGTGTTGAACCTAATTTCCAAAAAAAGTCTGAACCCTGCCAGGGATTAGCAGAGATGAAAATAATGCAGAACTAAAACAATAATCCTTACATAAAAATGAGTGTCCTGTTTTCACAGCAAAATATCTGACATGGAGAAAAATCCCTGTCAGATTAGGGATCTGCACTTAAATATAAACCTACAAAAATGAAAGATCATCCTCCAAACATTCCAGTTCAGTAATAAGACCTTGTAGGTAGGACGATATCATGTTTGGATCTGCGTTGCTGCCATACACTCGTACCAAAAACAACAGCAGTTGAGATGACTTAAAGGTAAAAGGCATCAGTATGCTTCAAACAAAGTGCTCGTGAGATGATCAAACAGCATCTAAATCCCTCCGTTCACACCTTTCCAACATCAGAGCTGGGAACAAGTAATCTTCTGAAACAAACAATCTGATGCTGGCGAGAGAAAACAGGCCTATCAGGATGTACTTTATACAGTCTTTACATAACTGCTTCCATCACTTTGTGTGTGTACAACCGAGTGGAACAATGCCCTTGAGGACACAGAATTTAAAAAGCGTGTGGCATAACTCTGAGGCTGCAAGCTTTTCACATCATCTTCAAGTGTAACCATTTGGAACATGTTGAACAACGTTCAATCTCAGACATTTAGACACATCATACGAAGCCCGATTGTTTCGCATATTCCCTGATTTCAACGTTTGATAAACTGCCAATATGTATCTCGTAAAAGACACCACGATTACATGACAATGAGCCTAAGCTGTTTAGTTACAGCCTATTGTGGAACGACACAGAGTGTGCTCACTCAGTTAATATGTACAATTTTGAGATGCCTGTAACAAAATACTACTATGACATGAGAAGAGGATATGAACATTTCATTCATCACAGGTTCGTATAATAGCAGCTGAGTGTAACACACTGATTGTGATAATATATCGTATCAGATTTGTATTTCAGCATGTGAAGCCAAAATTTAGAATTGTCCTGAAAAAGGAAAGTGAAAGCTATGCTATATTTAATTAAATTTGAGGTAGTATTCAATTAAAAAAACAAATAGAGATTGAAAGGAAAAATACAAATGATCTGTTTGTTTAGGGGATGTTTTTATTGTGATCGACATTTTTTCAAATGTACATATCGACCATCTATGTCTATGCAATTTTGAGAAGGGAAACATAAGCACCATTTGTATTCTCTTAGCTCCTTTTCAGTCAATGAATATGTATGCTCACTAGAAAACAAAAAGTGAATCAATAGACGGTGGCTTTTTTTTTTTAAGACTAAAAACTAACATAATATCAAGAACTATGATGCTACTATATAGGCCAATAGTCTCAATTAGTGTGCAGCATCTGTGTTTGTGTTAATCTGTGTGTGTGTACTTGCTTGCATGCCTCGCATTCAACACTTTGTGGGACAAATATCTGTTCACATGATCACATCTGAGGCCTTATCTCTCAATGGGGACAAAAAAACAAAACAAAAAAAAAAAAAACCTGTCCCCACAACATTAATCACTTATTTGCCAACAGGGAAGAAATACACCTGATGTCAATACAGTGTCCAAGAATAGGAATATGTGTTTGTGTTCTTAAAGAGGACTAGTTGAGTTTTAACCCATCCAACTGAGGACATTTTGGAATGGTGGGGACACTTTGGCTGGTCCTTTCTGTCCCCTCTTCACGCTTCTTCAAATGGCTAGTGTTTGAAGGTTGAGACTTGGTTTTACGGTTAACATTATAGTTTAGTGTATAACAGGGTGAGGGGCTAGCAAATGCATTTTGTCACTGAATGGCCTGACAAAGACAGCCAGACAAATGTGTGTCTGTTTCTGCGTGAGCATGTGTTCAAAAACTCTCAATGAAATTCTGGTTCTTTGAGCACGTGTTCATGTATGAGGAAAATCTCTTTCCCACACATGCCAAAGCCTCTTGCACACACAACTATCTCTCACACACACACACACACACACACACACACGTGTCAGCTCGCCAGATGCTCATTCAAAAAGGGTTTTCTGGTCCGTGGCCACTGTTACTTCATTGAGGCTTTGCGAGCCAGAGCATGGCCTCTCTGTCACATGTTCTGGCAGAGCAGCCTACTGGGGCCTTTTATCAATCAGCAGTCTCGGACGGTTCATCTGGGATAATACTGACAGTCAACCCTCGCCAGGATTAGATTATATGATGCTACGCTGCTCTAAACACACAGACACTCAGCCTCGTGTACAGACCACTGGTTCTTAGCGTTCATTCACACAGAACAGACAGCACAGACGTATCGATATATACATTTGAGAGCACCTTTTTGCTGGACTAGTAATTACAACTCATTGCCACGATAATAATGCAGCAAGCAATACAACACGTGCCTATAGCAAAGAGGCTTAAACTTCTGACAAATTAGTTTCTCTCCCCTGAGTGTACATGGAGGCTTCCTGCCAGCGGCTGAAAGCCTATATAAGGCACATGCACTCATGCCCATATCAGGTACTGTAAGCCTCTTTCAGCAGGAAAACACAGGGGATCAACAAACTGTACACTGAAGCACCACTAGGAGGCAGTAGCAGGTCAGAATAAAAAAGCAGCGCCTGAAGGCTTCTACATGCAGCCTCAACAGCATCCAGGTTGTCACCATACACCACTGATTGTCAAATGGCAACACGCATCAATCCAGTGCACTTAAAGCTATAAAACTATCTTTGAAAACGTGTGCGCTGCCATTTACTGTCAAAAATCTTTCCATTCCAGTTAACTTGAACGGTGTTGAAAGCTGGGGCTCGGTGGCCACGAGGCCCATGAGCATCATTCAAACAGCCACATGGTAATCACACACTGCCTGGACTCTCTGGGGAGAAACGCTAAGTTCAAGTAGTTAAAGGAGATTAATTCTTTTTTTTTCAAAGGAAGAACTCTACATGCACTCTTACATTAAGCGCACATCATTCTCCTCCTCTTAATCAATGTCCAATTTGCAGAGGCAGAGAGAACACGACTTGAAATGCATACAGCATATGCTTCCTTGGGTGCAGAGTGGGCGGATACTCTACCGCACAGCGCAGGGCAGAACCCCTATTAGTAGTCTTTTTATTAACTGAGCACACCTCCACTTGATCTCCAACAGTCTTCTCATGCAGAAGGACCACTGCTGAAACGAGAGGTACTGTAATTATGATGTATTACGCCAGCTGTGGTGTGAATTTCCCAGCAATGAATGGAAAGAAAAGATGAACTAATCCACTGGGAACGAGGAGCACAATATGCATTCTTAACAACCACCCCTTGCTTCCTCAAACAAAGCCCAGAACATTATACACACTTAACTAAATGAAAGAAGCACCAATTATGGATTAGCCTATTTTGACTCTGTCAAGCTTTCTAGTGGAAGTGCATGACGACACAGAGAGGGGCAAGAGGCACTATATCTTCATTTTCTGACTCTTATACCAATGAATTGTGCTTACTTTCCTGTCAAAACATGTCACCATATGGCTTAATTCCCATACTAACACACAATACAGGCTGCTAATTCTGATTCATTCTGCAGCTTTTTTCAACTTGTTTGAACTTTTTTTTCCCACTGATGGTGGTGACCTTTTTTAAGCCTCTCTTTATTCAACATTTTATCACCTCTTATATTCACTGATGCTGCCGTTACTGAGCTCATCAGAGGATAAGACTCAGAGGGTGCAGATGTGGAATGAAAGCAACAAGGGAAAAGAGATTGGTTCAGACAGAAGCCATATCTCCGTTTTTCTTAATTTATTTTTTAGGTTTTGTCTTTAAGTGCAATCAAGGAGAAACAGGAAAGTTAGGGAGAAGAGGGGGACTGACACGCAGCAAATCATGCCATGGAACTGATCCATGGCCACTGCAGCAGGGACTACTCACCCTTGTTAATGGGGCACCTGCTTAACCAGTGGACTACCGGGGCACCCTTGTATCACACTTCTATCGTCATCGGTAACGTGAGATCGCTGGACAATAGGCTGGACAAGGTGACGTCTCTAGGGTCGAATCGAAGGCCTTCTGTGAGCATGGTGTTGCGTTTCACCGAGACACGGCAACAGGAAAATACTCCAGATGCTGTCGTTACCATCGACGGCTTTCAGACGTTTCGGCCAGACAGGGATAAATTGAGAGTGGCGAGGGAAGAGGCAGAGGGCTTGCCACTTTGATTAAAAACAAATGGTGCTACCCTGGTCACATTACCGTGAAGGAAAGTTTCTGCAGTCCAGATCCTGAGCTGCTGGCCGTAGGGCTACGTCCACTCCACATACCGAGGGAGCTTTCACATACCATCTTGGTTGTTGTTTACATTCCCCCCCCGCTTCCCGTCCCTGCTAACCAGCAACCTTGTGCGATGTCATCTGCTCTGTTACACTCCAGAAGATGTAACCTTTCTTGTCTTTCTTGTATAATTTGCATTTTCCATGATCTTAAACATCTGTTACAACACAAAATCCCTGTGGGGATTAATAACGTTTTTGTGATCCTGATTCCTGTCCTTGTCGGAGCCTGACTATTAACAGACACTTTCGGCACACCCATTAGTATTCTGAGAGCCATCACCAGCCTGTTAGGGTACACTGTATCCCGCCGCAGATCTACACACTGTTAATTTTATAACTGAGACTTTGCAGCACTCCATCCAGCCTTTAACACACGCACAAGGACACGACCAGCGAACATAAACTTAACATGCAAGTGGGAGTTCTGTTACCACTGTATACTGTGCTATGGTTATCCGTGTCCCACACTAAAATAAACATGCTCTGATGTTTAAAGGAGACGCCACAGGATATTGTCATCGTTGCAAAAAATAGTCCTCAAGATTCCTCCCTTTCCAAAATACTACAGATAAACACAGAAATGCAAATGAATAGCTGTGGAATCTAGGGCATCTCTCATAAACAATATATTCACATTTTCTTCATACACAACAACTCACACACTGCAACTACATCGGATATAAAGACGTCTTTGCTATCGAAGCCGACAGCAGATGCAAGATGTTTAATAATCACAGGTAATTATTCACTGCAGAATTTCATCCAGCAGCCAGGCCACCATTTCACAGTCTTTCATCATCCTCATCAAGGCACTAACACCAACATTTTTCTAGGGATGAGACGAGGACACCTTACATCATGAATACCAGAAACCACATTACTCGACTTGGCCATATCTAATTCATTACACAGCTTGTTCGCTGTGAAATTCATGGGCCACTGTGAGCCTCTTAAGAGACCCTCATCGGCTCATAGATCAGACATTCAGAGATTTGCATCAGTTCACAGTTTTAGTGATTCTATACGCATGAGGAGAAAAGAAGAAAACTTGTACGATCAACTTATCGCGCTCTTTTTTTTCCGCTTATCGGATTTTGTTGACAGCAAACAAACTAACTTCTGATCAAATGCTCCCTCATTTTTGACAAGCCACAATAGGAAAAGATTTTTCTTATACAAACAAGAACCTGAAGATCAATTTTTTTAATATTTATCTGTGCTTTTCCTCCTGTGGCATCTCAAAAATGAAGTGTGGAGTATTTGATCAAAACTAAAAGCTTGATAGCTAGCTTCATAAACATTTCTATTTATGTTCACTGCCAGGTTTCTGATCAAATGTAATACTGCTTCTACTACAGCCTTGTGCCCTGACTTAATAGTCTGAGTGGTCTAACAACGCACATAGGCAAACACTGGATAGGCATTAGCACCGCTGGGTTTCTTCTATATGCTTTTTAAAAGTAGAATGGCAGTGCACCCAAAAAAGCAAAGAAACTCTTTTTACTGCAGTGTAATTCAGGTCACAATCCTCTGAACACAGTGAGAAAAATAGGTCGTTATGTAATGCAGGTTAGGGTGTTTTCCAGTCTGCTCATGCGAGAGAGTGTGCATATGTGTGTGTGTGTTTGTGTGCGTTTGTGTGTATTTGGGGATAACACATGCTTTTGCATGTGCATTTTTTGTGTGGGTGTGAATGAGCCCATTAGATGGCAGTTACGGACCGCTGTGAGGTATTCCAGGTGCAGCGCCTCAACGCAGCAATTACTAATGAATCTGAAGCAAAACCACACGCGCACACACACAGACACACAAACGCACAGACACACAGCCCTATTCTGAGTCACTTTCACTCCCATTAGTCCATCCACTCTGATGTGTCTGTGTTCCCTGAAACATCAGAGGAACCCAGCCCTGTCACTTCTGATGATGAGAAAAAGTTGACTGCAGCCCCAAGCGAGAGGGCCTCAGAGACATGCTCCAAGTAATGGGGAGACAGAGGGGGGGACCGGGAGGCAGAGGGACAGATAAAAACGGAGGGGTGGCGTGCAAAGATAGATAGCAAAAAAAAAAAAGAAATGGAAAAAACAGGAGTGTGGTAAGAAAATATTTTAAAATGTTGGGAAAGAAAAGCAAGAAGTGGCGAGACTGTATAGTCAATAGTAAATGGTTCATATGAACACCGTCGCCTATAAAGTTGGAATATTTCTTTGTTTTCAGATACACTCCTCTTTTTATTTCTGTTTATACACATCACTTTGACCAGGTGCAATGATTATATACTGAGTCCTAGTAACCCAAGTGAAATTAATTCTGACTTTGGGATCTGACTGAAAAGTGGGATGTCCTGCCCATCAACACCATCAACAAGCTGGTGGACAGTATGCTACGATGTCTTAACGCACTGATCCGTGTCAGGGGTGGCCATACTCAATATTAGTGCCTGAGTGACATTTAAAAGAGTAATATTGGACATTCTAATGCATGGAATCCCCTCGATTATGTGTTTCCTGTTGTATGACCCAGGTTGAAAAATTGAAACAAAACCCTTTATCTATTTGTACAATATCCTCAATTTAGTTTAAGCCTGAATAAAGCCTTCAGTAAAATTGAACTGAATTGAACACAGTTTGCAAAAGTTAATTGTGGTTACATTTTTACTGTGATATGTATTGTATGTGCATTGTGATATCAATAAAAGTTTTGAGAAGATATATATCTATCAAGAATAAATCACATTGTCACAATCATTCCATGAGAGGAGGTAAAAAAAATGTTTTATTCCAACTCCAAATCGTGTGTATATATATCACCTTTTAACCTCAGTTAGGTTCTACAAAGTGCTTTACAATGTGTGTCTCACTCATGTATTCACAAGGCAATGCCTGCAATCCTGCCATTGGAGAAACTTGGGCTGAGTGTTGTCATACCAGAGGGACACTTTGGCACATAGAGGGGCTGGGAATTGAACTGCCAACCTTGCAACCCACTCTATCACCTCACTGTCTCATGTGGAGAATGTGAAGGCAGCACAAAAAGAAACATCTGAAACGTGCACAACTTACCAAGCCAGCTTCTGTTTAAGTAGACGGACACAAACACGGGAGGAACGGTGAAGAAGTCGACCACTGAGTTGACCTCCAGCCAGAACCACAGCTTGTCATTGGCTGCTATAAACTGTCAAAAACAAACAAACAGATGAGAGAGGGGAAAAAAAAAAAAGGATGGCATTCAAAATGACAAACTGAATTTTCATTTTACACAAAACACCACCGCTCTGCCACAGCCTGCCAGTCAAACGTCTTCCAGTGACAACGCTGACATACTATATAGAATGACAAAAGCTTCACCCCACTTGCTGAGTCATGCAAACGGTTGGTGGTGTAAGCAGCTTATGAGTTTATTTATTCATTCATTCAGGATGTCAAGCTTGCGTTTGCACCACTGGAATGCTGCTCTGGCATGACAGCCATGCTTGCGACATCATTACAACAAAAGGCATGCTGCGCGGGTATTTGTAGATGACTTAAATGCATTTCTGCGTATGTGTGAGCATTGTTAATTGTCCTGTGAGAATGCTGCATATCAAATTATTCTTATTTACTGATTTTTTTTAAAAATTTGTCATTGAATGTGGTAGGCTTAAAAACAAATGTAGCTGCGATGTAACAAGGAGCATAAAAGAGCTTTTTACTGTTTTTAAAATAAGCGATTAGCTTACATGGTTGTGCGCATATAATTTGTGCAACTGTATTCAATTTCATGTCTGTAAGTGTGTACAGATTATTCATGTATGAGTAAGTGTATGCTGGAGCGCATGTGTGAGCAGGCATGCATGTGTGCCAGCTTACCCGCAGGCCAAAGTAAAGGAGGAAGAAGACGTTGAAGGCCATATCGATCTGTAACGTGAAATCTTTGTAGAAGTTCTGGCAGGATTCTATAGGACTGGAAGACAGAGACAGAGAAAAGAACATTTCTATGAGGATAAATATTCATGAACTGATATAGTAGGTGTTCCATCTCTCTCTCATAGCAAACACACAGGGGGAAAGAACTGGAGACGTTGCCATTTTTTATATGATAGGAGTATCATATTTTTTGCAATTTGTAATTGGTTTTTTTATACAGTTCATTTCATATCACAAAATCAAAAGGAATATTTTGTAGATTTGTCACAACCTGATTAATATACTGTACGCAAAATCACATAATCATGATAAGCTGCATTCCACTGTTATGCATTGTATCACACAGAACTCTGCAAACACAAAAACATCATGAAGCCATCAGTTCTTTTGTTTGTTTTAAGTCGCAATATATTTAGAAATCTTAGTTTAGTCAACAGAATGTGTGCAAATGATTTGACCAAAAAACAGTGACTTATATCCCACCCTTAAATACCAGGATAATCTTAATTTAATGATGCTACTTTGCTTCCGTCGTGCAGATATTGTCTAATTCTGATCATTCTTCTTTAAATCAGGGCTGATAAAAATAACAAAAAAATTTTTTTAATTGTTCTGGCAAACACAATCATCTCAAAGCCATCAAGGTCAAATGATGCTGACTGACAAGAAAACCCTGACTGTAAAGTAATTTGTTTTTTAAAAGCAGGATTAAGACGCTATTACTAAATTAGAATACCCAGTAAAACCAGTTTACTGACACCCATTTAGTAATTGGCCACTAAGTTTCACCAACTGCCTGCAATTCCCCACGCTGAGCCCTTGGGGGTCATAGAGCAAGATGAAAGACTTCGCTGTGGAGTCAATCACATATAGATGAAACAGCCGAAAATAAACTGAAACTGGTAGCTGCTTTGATGTGACAGTACTTTCAGCATGCATAAATTATTCAGTGTCTGTCAAGCACAAATTTTCCAACAGATATTCCCTCATATAAAGAGACTTCACAGAGGCTGCAATAGCTGGCCTGGTGTTGCTTTAAAGGCAGATGATGATAAATGAGTTGTGATCTGTCGCGTGTCGTGTGATCCATCCTCATGTTTACTGTGTGATGATCAACCATTAGCAAGTGGGTGCTCCCAACAAAAGCAATAACAGGCAGGATGCCCCCCCCCATTCTTCACATGGTCCTATAGTATTATACTCAGGAGTAATGAAGAAATCCCACAGTGGGGAAAAGCATAATTATGCGTTGTGATTTGGGTGGCTATAGGCGACCTCTGGGAATGTATAGACTGGCAAGGGAACGCACACGAAGCTATTAGGAGAATACACAGCCCCATACGGATCAAATTAAACATTAAAGTATACATTTGCATGCAAGGAGCCCACAGGGATGCAGAGTCAGAGTCAGAATAGAGTTTTAATGCATAATTAGAACCTCCAGAGGTAGAGAGGAGTGGGGCTTAATCATCTTCCAGTTAACATCAGACATTTCATCACGATGCTCCGTTGTTATGGTTGACTGAGTACCGACATCCCGGAGAAGACGCATTGCTCCAAGAGGATGATCTAACTTCTAATTCATGACTGTGCAGCCCGTCTTGAGCGTATCCTAAGGACAGATGTGGTCTTTAAGATGATGTAAAAATGATTAGAACGAGTCTGAGTTGTGCAGCGACTGTTGTTGTTTTTTCTAAATGCTTTATTTGGTTTAAAGGCATTTTTTCAAACTCTGAAAAAGAGTTGACATTGATCTAAGGAAAATACTTAATGATTTAACCACCAGAAGCATCTCTGTGTGATTCGATAGGCATCAACTTATTCAAGCTAACAAACAACCCTGTCATGAATCATATATGCAGCTTAAGCATGCACAGTATTCTCGCCCTGATTGTTTTTTTTTCAGGTTGAATCAGGCCTCATACCCTCCCTCTACACCCCGTACTTATGTCTCCTTACTCCCCAAACTGATTAGATACCACAACCGAACACACAAGTCAGTGCAGCCTTATTCACACAACTACAAATACACGTTAACACACGCTCACACACAGATGGCGCACACTGAAGACACCATTTGGAGTGGTCACCGTGGTGTTTCCCCTCAAGCCCAGCTCTGGCCTAATTCTGAATAACCGCTCATCTTCAGTCATGTGACCCAAAGCATTCTCGATAACGCAGAGAGAGCATGGCGGCGCACAGCAGGGCCCGTGCGGTTCATTGAATTTGTCTTGATTTTGCTTTATAATGCAACACAATGGCTACACTCTGAGGGCTTGAGTTTAGTCTTTTTTTTTTTTTTTTTTACCGTCATTACTTGATAGCAAAGCTTATCATTAACTAAAGTAGTGGGAAGCCACATCAAGCAGACCTGTGGTTTCTCTATTAGCTCAGCATCAGTACAGCATGGGAGAGTTTCCCCACAGTCTATTATTGTGGAGCTGATGAATGTGTTGCTGAAACCACATAAGGTCATGTGAAAATCGTGTGTTAATTGTTGGACACTGTTAAGCTTTTGTTAAGCTTTTCAACATGTTTGAACAAGCAAACACTTGATCCTCTTAAAAAAAAAGACATAAAATAGACATTTTCTTTTGACATCTTTGGAAAAAACCTGAATCCGTCACATAGAAAAAGCGTTTATCACACCATCAGATCTATACGTTTTTAATCAGGAGTTCTACATTAGGTGCCAATGATTAGAACCTCATGACATGAACTGACAGGTATAACCCATCTTACATCTAAGACCAGGTGTTTTCTTTGTTATTGAAGTATAAGGTGTCATCGTGCCAAGGTCTAATCAGCTCTCAGAGACAAAAGAGTATTTAAAATAAACTGATCCACTGGAAGGAAAATCATCAAGTTACACAGATTTCAAATGACTGTCAATTTTTCTCAAACTATCAATCCCAGAAAATTCTGCCATAACCTGACCACTTGATGCAAAACGAGCTCTCCAAAAACCCCCAGAAAATCAGCACAGGAACTATAAGCAACAATTTGATTGCACAGCTGCAAGGCAGAAAACGCCAAAAAATTACAAAAAAATTAGTGTACCAGTGAATACACAGGCAAAGACCAGATGTTTAGAAATGATGAGTTATCTGGCCACAGTAACAGAAGGCACACAGAAAACACACCAAGCAATGGCCCAAAAAGAAGAAATTGAGCTCTACTGAACGGCCTTGTCAAAGCCCAGATTTGAATGTCATTGGAAGGTTGTGTGGGAATATGAAACAGGGGATACAAAAAATGTCCCTAAGCCATTGTCAGACACTGGTGATTAACTAACACCTACAAGAAGTTATTTCTGCTAAAGGGGGCAATACTAGCTTCTGGGGCCAAGAGTCTACTTAATTTTTCCATGGATTAATATTACAGCTACTGATGTTTTTTGCTTTCTAACAATTGATCGAAAAAGGAAGAAGGCCATCTTTTAGCAGTAGGCAGAACCACACAGGAAGAGGAGCAAACAGATGGAACTGGAGGAGCTGTATACATTGAGCTGTGTGTCATTGCCTATAGACAGACAGCTTAAGAGTGAGCCATCGGTCCTCTACTAAAAAATTAAATGAATATTTTAACATAACGCATTTTTTAAAAATGTAAATACATTCCATTTAAAGCCGCACCAATCAATAACACAGCTGTCATCAGCCTCATTTCCATACAGCAGGCAGCTGTTTTCAATAAAACATTCCTCTACAGTAGCTGCCCAGCTCCAGTGCCAAACAGACACATTTAGGAACTACTTATTAAACTTTGTGAAGTAGCAGCTATAAGCCAGATTTTCTGACTATTTTAAAAGGTGACATCACTGTATGACTTCCATCCATCCATCCATCCATCCATTATCTATACACTGCTTAATCCTCACTAGGGTCATGGGGGGCTGGAGTCTATCCCAGCTGACTGAGGCCGAAGGCAGGGGACACCCTGGACAGGTCACCAGTCTATCACAGGGCTACACTTAGAGACAGACAACCAACTGCACTCACATTCACACCTACAGACAATTTAGAATCACCAATTAACCTCAACATGTTTTTGGACTGTGTGGGAGGAAGCCAGAGAACCAGGAGAGAACCCACGCTGCACGGGGAGAACATGCAAACTCCACGCAGAAAGATCCCGGGTATCCTCACCGGGATGCAAACCAGCGACCTTCTTGCTGCGAGGCAACGGTGCTAACCACCACTTCACCTTGCAGCCCACTGTATGACTTTGTTGTGTTAAATTCTCGCTCTAGTTTTTGATTAAACATCAAAAAACTATCAAAATCTATATTTAGAAGTTATTTTTTCCATTAAAATAATCCCTTCTTGCCTTAAAATGGTTTAGATGTAATATTGCAGAATGTGCAGATCTTTAAAGTACCCAACTCTGTCTCTACTCACCCCTCTGTTGCTCGCTGCAGCTCCAGCACACCAGCTCACCCTCTGCTCAAATATTGCTAAAGAACTCTACACTACCCAATAATACGTCAGAATATTGAAGTACTTCAGTCTTACATGTTTGAACCAGAAAACAATTGTTGAGAAGACAATCATCAAAGAGCTACACCCCCAAGTTAACAGGCGTGGCTCCTTAAGTGTGTTACATACAAAACCCTGATTGTCTGAATCCATGTTTTTCAGACATCAGTACACAACACTGATAAGGCAGATATGCTCAGTCGTGACGATATATATTCAAAATTACTTATATGTTGGAATATTCTGCAGCAATGCTTACTGCTAATGTTCAGTGCCAGTGCAGCCAGTAATAAGGCCAGTGTGAATAGTGTGGCACTTTCAACTTTCCATCTGTAATAAGGTGCATCAGTCTCCAGAGATGTCACTGTGCAAATCAACTGAATGCAAAATCTTATTTGCTGTGCACATACGTTCCTAGAAAGTGTCTGTTATATACCGTGGTATGAGAGGAGGTCACATGAGTTGAATCCTCACTTAACTTAAACAATTAAACAAAAAGAATCATAAGCCTCTCAAATGTGTTGCGCTTTGTGCAGCTATTGTTTGGGATTATATTGCG